GCTATTCATTCCATCTCTTTAACACTCCCCCCGCCCCCAACTCTGGAAGCCACTGATAGTTTTGATCTCTATAGTACCGCCTTTTACAACATTGGAAACATAGAAGTATGTCGGCTTTACAAACTGGTTTCCTTTATTGAGTATTATGCATTTACTTCTTTCGTGCCTCTTTCTGGCTTGAAATGATGACAGAATAATATTCCATTGTATGTATGTATGTATGTACTGCAGTTTGTTTACTCATTCACCTATTGAAGGATATCTTTGTTGCTTTCAATTTTTATCAATTTATGAGTAAATTGGCCATAGATATATGTACACAGATTAAGTTTTTCAATACATTTGTGTAAATACCTAGGAGTGTGATAACTGGATTATATGGTAAGACAGTGTTTAGCTTTGTAAGGCCGGGTGCGGTGGCTCAAGCCTGTAATCCCAGCACTTTGGGAGGCCGAGACGGGCGGATCACAAGGTCAGGAGATCGAGACCATCCTGGCTAACCCGGTGAAACCCCGTCTCTACTAAAAAAAATACAAAAAAAAAACTAGCCGGGTGAGGTGGCGGGCACCTGTAGTCCCAGCTACTCGGGAGGCTGAGGGAGGAGAATGGCATGAACCTGGGAGGCGGAGCTTGCAGTGAGCTGAGATCCGGCCACTGCACTCCAGCCTGGGCGACAGAGCGAGACTCCGTCTCAAAAAAAAAAAAAAAAAGAAAAAAGAAACTGCCAAAATGCCTTCCAAATTGGCTGTATCGTTTTGCATTCCCACCAGCAATGAAGGAGAGAGTTTCTGTTGCTCCACAACCCTACTATCATTTCGTGGTGTTGGCATTTTAGATTGTAGCCATTCTAATAGATTATGTGTGATGGTTATCTCTTGTGGTTTTAATTTGCAATTCCCTAATGACATGTGATGTTGAGCATCCATAAATATGCTTATTTGTTATCTGTATATCTTCTTTGGTGAAGTATATGTTCAGATTTTTTGCTTATTACTTAATGAGTTTTTTTCTTACTGTTGAGTTTTAAGAATTAATTCTATCTATTATTTTGGATACAAATGTGTCATCAGATATGTGCTTTGCAAATATTTTCTTCCAGTTCATGGCTTGTCTTTCCGTTCTCTTAACAGTGCCTTTTACAGAACTGAAGTTTTTCATTTAAAAAAAGTCCAACTGATCATTTTGTTCATTCAAGGAATATTCATGCTTTATGTGTGGTATATAAAACTCAATGCCAAACCCAAGGTCATGTACGTTTTCTCCTATATTAGTTTCCAGACGTTTTAAAGTTCTTTTAAAAAGTTATTTATTTATTTAATTGAACTGTTGTAATTGTTTATATGTATGGGGTACAATTTAAAGTTTTGATACATATCTATGTTGTATAATGATCCAATCTGGGTAGTCAATGTATGTATCACCTCATGCATTTACATTCCTTGAGGTGAGAACCTTCAAAAGCCTCTCTTTTGAAGAGCTATTTTGTAATATACAATATTTTAATGTCAACCATAGTCCCTATACTGTGCAATAGAACACCAGAATTTACTCCTTCTAATTGTAACTTCATACCCATTTACCAACTTCTCTTATCCTCCTCTTTTCCTCCATCTGAAGTCTTTGGTAACCACTGTTCTATTCTTTGCTTCTATGATATCAACTTAAAAAAATAGATTCCATGTATGAGTAAGATCATGCAGTGCTTGTCTTTTCTGTGTCTAGCTTATTTCATATATCATGATCTCCTCCAGGTTCATTCATGTTGTCTCAAATCATAGGATTTCATTCCTTTTTATGGCTGAATAGTGTCCCACTGTGTATATATACCACATTTTCATTATCCATTCATCCACTGATGGACACTTAGATATGTTTCATATCTTGGCTATTGTGAATAGTGCTGCAATAAACATGAGAGTGCAGATATCTCTTCAATATACTAATTTCCTTTATTCTGGGTATCAACTCAGCAGTGGGACTGTGGGATCATATGGTAGTTCTATTTTTACTTTTTCCGAGGAACCTTCATACTATTTTCCATAATGGCTGTACTACTTTATATTCCCACCAACAGCATATGAATATTCTTTCTGTCTATCCTTGCCAGCATTTAAAAAAAATCTTTTTGATAATAGCCATCCTAGCTTTAGTGAGGTGGTATCTGCTTTTGGTTTTGATTTGCATTTCTCTGATGATTAGTGATATTGAGCATTTTTTCATATACATTTTTCATATATATATTTTTCATATACAAATTGACCATTTTTGTATCTTTTTTCAAAAAATATCTATTCAGGTCTTTTTGCCCATTATTAGGTTGAGGTATTTGGTTTTTAGCTGTTGAATTGTTTAAGTTATTTATATATTCTGTATATTAACCTCTTGTCAGATATATAGTCTTAAAATATTTTTTACATTCTGCAGGTTGTCTCCTCACTCTGTTAACAGTTTCTTTTGCACTGCAAAAGTATTTTAGTTTGATATAATCCCATTGCTTTTTTTGCCTGTGCTTTTGAGGTCTTATTTTTCAAAATTCTTGAAAAATTCAGCCCAATATTGGGAAGCATTTTCTCTATGTTTTCTTCTACTAGTTTCATGGTTTTTGGGTTTTATATTTAAGATTTTAATCATTTTAAGTTAATTTTTGTATATAGTGAGAGTTAGGGATCTGGTCTCATTCTTCTGCATACGAATCTCCAATTTTGCCAGCATAATTTATTAAAGAGAATGTCTTTTCTCCAATGTGTGTCCTTGGCACCTTTGTCAAGGATCAGGGTTGTGGATATGTTTCTGGGTTTTACATTCTATTCCATCGGTCTATGGATCAGTTTCTATGTCACTACCATGATGTTTTGGTTACAATAGCTTTGTAATATGTTTTCAAGCCAGGTAGTGTGAGGTCTCCAGCTTCATACTCCAATGGAGTCTTTTATGATTTCACATAAATTTTGTGGTTTGTTTTTCCTTTATCTGTGAAGAATGTCATTGGTATTTGCATAGGGATTGTATTAAATCTCATTGCTTTGGGTAGTATGGCCATTTTAAAAATATAAATTCTTCCAATCTATGAACACAGGATATCCTTCTACTTATTTGTATCCTCTTCAATTTCTTTCATGAAAGTTTTATAGTTTTCAGTGTAGAAATCTTTCACCTCCATAATTACATTTATTCCTAGGTGTTTGTTCTTGTTGTTGCTGCGATTGTAAATAAAATTGTTTTCTTGATTTCTTTTTAAGATAGTTCACTATTAGCATATTGAAATGGTAATAATTTTTATGTTGATTTTGTAGCCTGTAACTTTTTATTGAATTTGTTTATTATTTCTAGAGGTTTTTGGTGGAGTCTTTAGGGTTTTCTATATATAAAATCAAGTAATCCGCAAACAGAACCAATTTGACTTCCTCTTTTCCAATTTGGACGCCTTTTACTTCTTTCTCTTACCTAATTGATCTGGGTAGGACTTTCAGTACAATATTGAAAGTGGGCCTTCTTATTTGGTTCCTGAGCTTTTCCCTGTTCACTATGATGTTAGCTTGGAGTTTGTCATATATGGTCTTTATTGTGTTGAGGTGCATAACTCTATACCTAATTTGTTGAGAAATTTTGTCATTAAAAGGTGTTGAATCTTGTCAAATTATTTTCTGCATCTATTAAAATAATCACATGGTTTCTCTCACTCTTTCTTGTAATGTAGTGTAGTGCATTTGTTGTTTGTTGTAATGTAGTGTAGTGCATTTGTTGACCTATGTATGTTAAGTCATCTTGCATCACAGGCATTAATCCCACTTGATCGTATTGAATAGTCTCTTTAATGTGCTGTTGGATTTGGATTGCTAGCACCTTAGTAAGAATTTTTCCATGTACATTCATCGACGAGTTTTTGTTGACCTGTTGTTTTGGTTGTTGTCGCTGTGTTGTTGTTTGGTTTTGGAATCAGGGTAGTAGTGGCCTGGTAAACTAGTTTGGCAGTATTCACTCCTTTTCAGTTTTCTGTAATAGTTTGAGGAGAATAGGCATTAGCTCTTCAAGTGTTTGTAGAATTCAGCACTGAAGCCATTAGTTCCTGAGCTTTTCTTTGATGAAAGACTTTTTATTACTGATTCAGTTTCCTCGCTCATGTATTACTGATTCAATTTCCTCACTCATCACTGGTCTGTTCGAATTTTCTATTTCTTCATAATTTAATGTTTTGGTAGGTTATTTCTGTCCAGGAGTTGATCCCTTTCTTCTGTGTTATGAAATTTGTTGGCATCATAGTCTCTTATGACCCTTTGTATTCCTGTAGTATCAGTTGTAACATCTCCTTTTCATCTGTATTTTATTTATTTCAGTCTTCTCTTTTTTTCTTAGTCTAGCTAAAGGCTTGTGGATTTTGTTTTTTAAACCAGCTCTTCATTTCATTGATCTTTATTTTATTGGTCTTTTTTTGTTTATTTCTTCTCTGAGCTTTATTATTTCCTTCCTTCTGCCAATTTTGAGTTTGGTTTGTTCATGCTTATCTCTAGTCTAAGTCTTAAAGATTATCTAAGAGCTCGTGAACAGAATATGGGCAATAAAGGCCTTTCTGATGAAGTCTCAGATGGAAATGAGGAATATCTTATTAGAAACTGAAGGAAAGGTCATTGTTGTTATAAAGTGGCAATAAACTTGGCTGAATTATCTTCGTGACAAAGGACGTTGTAGGAAAAATAATTAAAAAGCAATGAAGCAATGCACTGGCCAGGCATGGTGGCTCATGCCTATAATCCCAGCACTTTAGGAGGCTGAGGCAGGAGAATTGCTTGAGCCAGGAGTTCAAGACCAGCCTCAGCAATATAGTGAGACTTCATCTCTACAAAAACAAACAATCAAATGATAGGTAGATAGATAGATGATAGATAGATGACTACATATATATGGTACATATGTACACATGTTTATATAGACAAAAATATTTTTTAATATTTTACTTAGATATTTCTGTTACATATATACATACACACATACACACACACACACACATATATAAACACACATATATATAACAACAAAATAAAATAAAAGCAATACATAATATATATATAGACATCTGGCCATAGAAATGTCTAAGCAAAATATTAATAAAATAATCTGTATGGCTTCTATCAACTGCTTAGAGTAAATGCTAGAAGAAAGAAAGAATTTAAAGACAGAGTTTATCACTAAAAGGGAAGCAGACCATAAATACTTAGAAAATTCTCAGCCTGGATTGTCTTCTCCATCTAAGACTCTCATAATGCTTATATTGTTTAGTTTGATGGTGTTTCACTATTTCTTTATGTTCTGTATACTTTTCTTCATTCCTTCTTGTTTCTTCTACTCAGATCAGAAAAGTTAAATTGCTCTATCTTCAAATATTTTCAAGAAAAGAAGACTTTTTTCTCTTTGAGCAAATCTGCTATTGAGCATCCCTACTACATTTTTCATTGAGTTACTGTGCCTTTCCAATCGAGAATTTTCATTTATTCACTTTTTGTGATTCTCTTTGTTAAAATGTTGACTTTGTTCCTATATTAGTTTTCTGATTCTTCTGAGTTTTTTGGGGGTCCATATTTTCCCTTAGCTCTTTGACTATACTTCAAACAGTTGTTTTATGGACTTAGTCTAGTAAGTCTAATGTCTAGGTTCTATTGGGGATGATTTCTGTCAGTTTATTTTGTTCTTTTGAATAAGCCATGTCTTAACTGTTTCTTTGTATACTTTGTGCTTTTTGTTGTTCCTGACAATAGGCTATTTGATTATTATAATGTGGTAACTGAGAACATATTCTCATTCCTTCTGGTAATGCTTTTGAAAAGTGTAATTGTTGAAGGATATAAGGTATTTGTTTAGATATTTTTCCAAACAAATTTAGTCAAGACTATCTGGTTGTGTGTGCTCGGTAAAGATGCTGTTCCTTTAGCTTGCATTAACTAATGTTTTGGCAAAGGTTTCTTTAATTATTGGAGTATTTTGAAGATGGCATTTTCTTGATGTATGTTTGTTTGTTTGCTGTAAACCTTTGAATTTTTTTCCAAAACTCTTACACAGTTGATTCAGATAGCTGAATTTCTAGGTTTTTTCCTTTTCAGTGTTTCTATGGGGGAAGGAGAGCTTGCAGTTTTCTAGCCTGATACTTTACTGATCTCACTCTCACTTAAAACTTTTTAAAACATCTGTGATTTCAAAAATAATACATACTAATTCATGAAAAGCCAGATGAGACACACAAAGAGAGAACTAAATTCAAGATTTTTAGAAGACTAAACACAACACACACACACACACGATTACTCAAACGTAACTCATTTCTAGAATTTGTCTGTACCCCCAAACAGTCCTCTTCACATCATTGAAATTGTCTGCTAATTTATACAACATTGTGACTGGGAGGTTTCCTGGCTGTATCTTTTCAATATCTGTGATATTATGAATACACACACACACACACACACACACACACACACACACACAGGTTTTCATCCATAGTCCCTAGCTTACAATGCCCACAACCTTGTTACAGTTTTGTTATAATTAATGTTGGAGTGCTTTAGGCCTCAGAAACAGACCTGAAGAAACAGAATTCCTCTCTTTCTCTGACCCTTTCCTGTCCTTTTTCACCTACCCAAGGCAGGACTAATCTGATTATGGGGCAGAAGACCCTCATTCCAGAGGGGGTCCTGCCCAATATCCTAAAGAAAGAATGGTAAACACAGAGGCCAAGACTGAACAGACAGGCCTTGCTGGGTTTAGACCATGTACTTTTTCCAATCACATTTTTACATGGTTCTCAATCATGCCTCTGTAATGAAGCCTCCACAAAAACTCAAAATGGTAGGGTTCAGAGAGCTTCTGGATAGCTGAACATGTGGGGGCTCCTTGACGGTTGTGCACAAGGAGGGCATGGAAGCTCTGTGCCCCTTGCACCATACGTCACCCTATGCATCTCTTCTTCTATATCCTGTATAATACCCTTTATAATAACTGGGTAAGCATAAGTGTTTTCCTGAGTTCCATTCCAACAAATTAACCAAACTCCAAAAAGGAGTCATGGGAACCCCAAATTGGAACTTGTTGATCAGAAGTTCTGGAGGCCTACACGTGTGACTGGTAGCTGAAGCTGGTGACTAGATGTCCAACCTGGGGGATCTGACACTATACCCAGGTAGATGGTGTCAGAATTGATTTGAAGGACACATAGCTGGTATCTGCTGCTTGTTGTGTGTGAAAAAAAACCAAAAACACTTTTGGTCACAGAAGTCTTCTTTAGTGTTGATTGTTGTTGCAGTGTGAGAGCAGAGGACAAAAATGGTTTGACAGTTTGGTGAAAACAGTACCTGAATATAAAAAGCAGGCTAATTATCTTTCTAATATGACTTTCCTCATGTCATCCCCCCTCTTACAGATTCCAGTCAAAATTTCCCATCACATCAAATAATAAATGGATAACTAGCTATTACTGCTCCCCAAAGGGCCCAACCCTTTTTATCTGTTCCTATCTTTCAATAATTATTAATATACATATAATGTATAAATTAGTACATTTTATAATTCTTACCATTATAATTACTTTTATTCCTCTTTCTACTTTTACTACATTACTTTCTTCTTAGAAATTAGTTTTTTTTATTGTGGCCAGTTTATTTCAGGCTGAGATCAACTCATTCTTGTACTTTTAAAATATTTCTGACTGCACTGAATTTAAAACAAATCTTTCAATGTTGCACACAACACATTTAAATATTAATATATTCTTCTTTTCTAAATATTACTTTGTATAAATCCTCCCAGCTAAAAGGTATGATTCATAAGAGGAGAAAAATAAATGAGGTAAACTGCTTTAGGTAACTTCCTTATACCAAATTGAGTCTGTTTTCATGCAATTCTATGTTAAAACTATTTTTGAGAAGGAAAGGGAGATGGTTTCTAAGATAATTTCATGATGTGCTAATTCTAGATTGAGTCAGAAAGAAGTTGAAGTCAAATCCTTTATAGAAAATTAACTCTTGAGGTATCCTTAGCTTATGATAAAACACACAGATTTTAAGGGTGCAGCTTGATGAGCTTTTATTTGAAATCACCATTGCAATCAATATATTTGACTGATACTTTACATTTTTCCAGAAAGGTCTCTTTATGCCCCATTCCCCTGCTCATACATCTAGAAACTAATAATTACATTTCTATTTCCATAGATTAATTTGAAGTATCCTAGAACTTCATACAAATTAAATCATACATTAACTACTCCATTTGGTCTGGCTTGTCTCATAATTTCTTTGAAATTCAACCTTGATCTTGCATGTTTCAGAAGTTTGTTCATGTTATAACAGAGGAGTATTTCAATGAATGAATATATCAGTGTGTTTATCTATTCACCTATCAAGGACAAGTTCTTGGTTTCCGGATTGTAGAATACATTTATGAATAATGCTGCTATGAACATTCATAGACAAGACTATGTGGTAAGTTCCTAGGACTGAAATTGCTGGATCACAGTGTAGGTATATATTAACTTGATAAGAATTATAGTTACACACCCCAATTTTTCTCATGACATTTTACTCTCCAGTTCATCCATTACCCTCAACTTCATTTGATTTCTATAATCTCTAAGTCTATCCTCAAAATTCCTTCAAGGAAAAGTTTCTACCTCCCTTATTGATTACGCTTCCCTCTTTTAATTACAGGTTGAATCCTTCCCTCATTTAGTCTTCAGAAAAATGTCCTTAAGTGTCCTAACCTTGCATCAAACCCACTTACTCATCAAACCCCACTTATGACTTCCCTTAGAGGACAAGGGACATTTCAGCTGTTATATGCTGCTCTTCTCAATTCCTGCCATTTTTTTCCTCTTCCTTTGACCCCCTGGCCTACCTCTCCAGCTCACTGAAAACAGCCTCCCCTGATGAGCACACCATTGTTATGTAATAGCCTAACCCTTCCCACTCACCTATCAGGGGGTGCCAAGCCTGCAGACTCACTCTGCTTTCATCATAACTGCCCTGAGGAGAAGGCTGAAGACTGAGGAATCCTCTTTGTGCCTCCCATTTGATTGCATTTTCTTTGGTCAAAGGTTCCCTTATTCATGGGACCTGCCTGGGTCCAGGACCCCTTGACAGGTGCTCTCTGGCTGCCTGTCCTCTGGGCACTCTTGTCCCAGGTCTATTGTTTTCATGACCCACCAGGATGGCGCTTTACCTCCTCAGAAATTGTGATCCCCAGGAAAGTGCCCCACAGGAGGCGTGGAGTTGAGATGCCAGACCAACTCTCTTACAGCATGCGTTTCCGGGGCCGAAGGCACGTGATTCACATGAAGCTCAAGAAGAACATGATGCCCAGACATTTACCTGTTTGTACTGATAATGACCAGGGGGCCATACAGGAGAACTACCCTTTTGTCCCACGAGACTGTTACTATGACTGCTACCTGGAAGGGGTTCCTGGGTCTGTGGCCACATTGGACACCTGCCATGGAGGGCTGCGTAGCATGCTGCAGGTGGATGACTTGACTTACGAAATCAAACCCCTGGAGGCTTCTTCGAAATTTGAGCATGTAGTATCCCTGCTTGTGTCAGAAGAAAGACCGGGAGAGGCTAGTAGATGTAAGACTGAAGGGGAAGAGAGAGATCAAGAATCTGAAAAGGTAACACTGGCTGAAACTCCCAGAGCAGGCCACGTTTATTTGTGGAGGCATCATAGAAAAAACTTGAAAATTCACTACACGGTTACTAATGGATTATTCAAGCGGAACCCTAATGTGTCACACATAATAGAGAATGTAGTGATTATTAACGGCATCATACATACCATTTTCAAACCAGTTTATTTAAATGTCTATGTACGTGTTTTGTGCATATGGAATAAAAAGGATATAGTACAGTTTTATCGAATACCTGCAGGAACTGCTGTAGAAAAGTTTGGTTTGTGGAAATATTTTAGATGGTACACACAAATTGAACATGATACCTCAGTTGTTTTTACAGCATATCAACTTGAAAACCGGGACTGTTATGCCCAGTTTAATGGAATATGCAACCCCAACTGGGGAGCAATGTTTGTGTATTTAAGGAGGTATCACATATTTAAGGGGGCATGTTTAACAGCGCATACACTAGGTCATAACTTGGGCTTGACACATGATTCTGCTGGTGGTTATTGTTTTCGACGAACCAACTGTCTCATGGCTCCTGTTCCTGATCTTAATGATATGATGAGCAATTGTTCTTATGAGCAGATGCAAAACAGGTTAAATAAATGGGATCCGTGTTTGAGTGATCCAAATGCTCCATACACTAATTTTCCTTATGTAGCTCCTCGTTGTGGAGACAAGATCAAAAATCAGAGGGAAGAATGTGACTGTGGCTCCCTTAAAGATTGTGCCAATGATAGATGTTGTGAGACCTCTTGTATCCTTTCTCTTGGCAGTGTTTGCAATACAGGACTTTGCTGCCGTGAGTGTAAATATGCTGCCCCTGGAGTGCTTTGCAGAGACTTGGGTGGTATATGTGATCTACCGGAATACTGTGATGGGAAAAACGAAGAGTGTCCAAATGACGTCTATGTCCAGGATGGAACCCCATGTTCAGCAGTATCTGTTTGTGTAAGAGGAAACTGCAGTGACCGTGATATGCAGTGTCAAGCCCTTTTTGGCTACCAAGTGAAAGACGGTTCCCCAGCATGCTATCAACAATTGAATAGGATTGGTGACCGATTTGGAAACTGTGGGGTTATTCGACAGCGAGGGGGAAGTAAACCTTTTCCATGTGAAGAAGATGATGTTTTTTGTGGAATGTTGCACTGTAGTGGTGTCAGCGAGATTCCCGGTGGAGGTGAGCACACTACATTTCGTAGTATATTAGTACGCGACATAAAAGAAGAAAAATGCTTTGGCTATGAAGCACACCAGGGGACAGACTTGCCAGAAATGGGGCTGGTAGTGGATGGTGCAACCTGTGGCCCAGGGAGCTACTGTCTTGAACACAATTGTACTTTTTATCAAGACCTGCATTTTGAGTGTGATCTTAAAACATGCAATTACAAAGGAGTATGTAACAACAAAAAACATTGTCACTGTGTGTTTGGGTGGCAACCACCAACATGCGAACTGAGAGGAACAGGAGGTAGTATAGATAGTGGCCCTCCACCTGACAAACAATATCATATTGCAGGCAGCATACTTGTGCATACAAACCGAGCACTACTTTTAATATTTGCTCGTTACATCCTTTTTCTGTTTCACTTCTCTTTGGTGGCTTTTCACAAGCAATAGAATTTATGGAAAAGAAAGTATTGAGAACTACTGAACCTGAGGAGTAAATACTAATGGGAGCCCACACAATGGAGAAAATCTCATTGACACTTACTGGGAGTTATAATCAATAGTCATTATGATGGTTACATCACCTCTTAGCAATTTGATGTCATCTTGAAATAAAATCACTTGGCAATTTAAAAAGGGTCTGTGTGTTTAAATTTACTTAACATTTCCTGTCTGGTCATATTCTCAATACTTCTATAGATGACGGCAGAAACTCCTAGATTCACTAACAAGAGGACCTGTACTCATTTAAGATTTGGGGCTAATGTTTTCTAGATACCCCTGTGGCAAATCCCATGTACACTAATACACATTTGCTCACACTCTTAATTTTTTTTTTTTTTTTTTTTTTTTGAGGCAGGGTCTCTGGTGCGTAGCCTGCCAGGTTGGAGTGCAGTGGCGCATTCTCGGCTCACTGTAACCGCTGCATCCCGGGGTTCGAGCAATTTCCCACCCACCTCAACTTCCTGAGTAGCTGGGATTACAGGCACGTGCTACCACGCCAGATTAATTTTTGTATTTTTAGTAGAGACAGGGTTTCACCATCTTGGCCAGGCTGATCTCAAACTCCTGGCCTCAAGTGATTCACCCACCTCGGCCTCCCAAAGTGCTGGGCACTTGGTACATGCTGTCTGCTATCATTTTCATTATTCTCAGTATTTTTGCATTATGCTAGGCCTGGGGAATCCCATGTGTAATGTCTCTGACATTTTGTCTTTACTGTTAAACTATTACAGAAAGGGTCATTATTCACTGATAAATCACTTCTCAATTTATCTGGAAATTAAAGGTATGGGACATCATATTTTAAATCTCCAGGAATTGCCTGAGCCCAGCCTATCTATAAATTACAGGATGGAACTGACAGTCTCATAAATGTACAGACACAAAATCTTACCTAAAGGGAAACCGGAAGAATCGCTTCAGAAATAGTGCACTAAGGTGGGGTACAGTGACTCACGCCTATAATCCCAGAGATTTGGGGGCCTGAGGTGGGAGGATTCTTGGAGGCCAGGAGTTTGAGACCAACCTGGGTAACATTGTGAGACTCTGTCTCTATAAAATATTAAAAAACAAAAAAAAATTATCCAGGCATGGTGGCACATACCTGTAGTCCTAGCTATTCCAGAGTATGAGGAGGGAGTATCAGTTTGAGACCAGCCTGGGCAACATAGTGAGAATCTATCAACACAAAATATAAAGAAATTAGCTAGGCATGGTGGTGCATGCTTGTAGTCCTAGCTATTCGGGAGGCTGAGGCAGGAAGATCACTTGAAGCCAGGAATTCAAGGCCAACCTGAGCAGGATAGCAAGACCCCATCTCTAAAAGAATTTAAAAATCAGGCCGGTGGAATAGTGTGTCCCTATAGACCCAGCTACTTGGGAGGCTGAGGCAGGAGGATCACTTGAGACCAGGAGCTGGAGGTTACAGTGAGTCATGACTGTACCACTGCACACCAGCCTGGGTAACAGAGTGACACTGTATGTCTGTATGTGTATGTGTGTCTGTGTGTGTGTGTGTGTGTGTGTGTTTGTTTTAAAAACTTTTCCCTTGTTTTTAAGGCTTGTCATATCCAACAAGAGGTGATGTTCCAGGTCACATAGTACAAGGGAGGTGGAGATGTGGAAGAAAAGAAGCAAGGGGGACTTCAAGAAGATAGGGATCAGGATAGAAGGGAGGTGAGAATCAGAGGCATAAATAGTGGTAGACAGAAGGGAGGAGGCCTTTGGGAAAGGAAGATCATTGAAGTTGTTGAAAACAGGACTCAAGATTACAGACCGTTCAAAATATTTCTTTTCATGGTTTCTTCATACCAAATAAAGAAAGTTATTTGTGGAGTGTCAGCTATTCTGCTACCCTTTTCTTCTAAGGTGACACAAAAATGTACAAGTTTGAAATGCCCCAAGTAACCAAAGGCACTCCAGTTCAAATTTATATCTGATGAAATCACGCCACTTAAGAATTTAACAGATTGATCAACATTGCACCAGACCATATGTCTACACACATCTGACCAGGTGTTTGGGTTGAATAGGAGTTTCCGTAGTAGAAGAAATTTGAGATAATAGAAGAGTCTTGCCCCACCTTAGGAAAGTTACCTAAACTCTCTACTCATCTAAAGAACTCTGAAAGATGGAAGGAAAATGCTGACTTCAGTCTGACAAAAGTCAAAGCATGCAACCACCATGCTATGAATGAAAGTCAGGTGATGGGACGATCTGTGCAGCAAACTGCCATGGCAGTGTTTACCCATGTAATGAACCTGCATAGCCTATCCTGCACCTCTACCACTAACCTTAAAATAAAAGTTGGAAATCAAGAACAAAAATAAAAATGAGGGGAAAAAAGAATCAGATACCAACAGCAGGGCTGACCATTCCACCCACGGAAATTAGGGTTCTTTGATAATGCTGTCTTTGGCACAAAACTGGGCAGTGTTGGCCTTTTGCACAAAACTATTCCAAGTAACAACACAAAATTATTAAACATATATATTATATAAGTTTTTTAAAGTGACTCACATAGAGGTTAAAGGCTTTATTCAATTGAACTACATAAGGGAGTACCTGAAGACCAGGTGATGTCACAAGTGAAGCAGGGTCAAGGTTTTTACAAGATGGGAACGTTCTGAGTAGCTGTCCTTGTCCTTTCAATTTTAGCACCAGTGTTCACCTTAACCAAAACCCATAGATGGAGACTATTCATATTTACTTGTACCTTCTTTGGAGTCTAATAACCAACAGAACAATAATTCTGAGAACCGTCTTTACAAACCTTGTGGGTTTTTGGATAGCCATGGGCTGTGAGAGGTATATAGTTTTTTAAAAAAGGGGTTGGGGGAGGGCGCTGGGCATGGTTGTTCATGCCTATAATCCTAGCACTTTGGGAGGCCAAGGTGGGAGGAATACTTGAGCCCAGGACTTTGAGACCAGCTTGGGCAACAAAGCAAGACCCCATCTTTATAACATTAATTTTGTTTTAACTTTAAAAAAATAGAAGAAGGAAAAATAAAAAGGACAAAAGTGGGAGTCAGGGAGGACCCAGAGCACTTGCTATAATGTTTGTTTTAAATCTTTTGCACCTTCATCCCGGGAGGTCAACACTGCTGCACATATCCATTCGCAGTTACCATTGCATTGGGTGGTTCCAAGTGGCTCCCAAGTGAATCCCCTAGTTTCTCCATATAACCCTCCATGCCTCTACTGGGGCTCAGCAGCCTTACCTTCCCCTGCTCTTCAGGGTCAATTACTCCTGCCAAAATGACTCTTCTTTTTACCTGCTGGTCCTTGAACAGAAGATGTCCCAGATGTCCTGAGGGCAGCTTGCAGGTCTATGGAACTTATGCTGGGTCCTCTGGCAAAGATGCATTCTCTTTGTGGACCAAGACCTGCCTAGAGAACAGGTAGTTGCAAGGAGGGAAGCAGATCAGTGGATCATCAAGTGTGATGATAAGTGAGGCCACCCGGCTTCTCTTCCTTGGCTCTGGGCCCCATATATTCTTTCTATTGCATATACAACACCATGTAGGAATCTCTGACTTAATATACACAATGCATTGTGAAGGCTAGCACTCAATTCTTTCAGAATATTGTTTCTGAGCTGGCACTCTGGCTCTGCCTTCTGCAGGCCATTCTCAGCACTTTAGGAGAATAGATGCTACTAAATATTGAATATATGATACAAACAATATAATTCATTTCTATGTACCATTCCTGCACCTCATACACTAAAGAGTGAATGAATCCTCTATTCATATGCCAAGTTGTATGAGACTCCATGCTTAAAGATCTTACAATCCATATGCCCACAGTAGTGGTGCTGGCTCAAGCTCTATAGACAATATCATAACTAGAATATGTATATTTTCTTGTGTGAACTAATCGCTGGCCCTCCCAGGATAAAAGGGGCACAAAGTAGTCAATGTCTCACTAATTCACTGTTTGTTTTCCTTGAAGAATAGCACCTTCCCAGAAACTCAGCCTTGATCTGTGTCACTGGCAAATTAGACATTCATGACAGAAGTATCTTGATTAACTCCCTTGGCAAGTGGGAGTCCATGCTATTGAGCCCAATGTACCTCCATCTCTGCCACTATGGCCACCTGTTTGTGTACCCCTGGAGAATTCATATACATGGATATCTTTTCAAGAGTGAGAAGACCCAAAATAATGGTCACAGCAGAAAGTTTTTATACTTTTAGAAAAAGAACAATAAATTTGTGAAGAAATGACAAGACAACAGTATAGAGAGCCAAAAGCCTGTGGGTTGTAACCTACTCAGCATTCCACTGGAGGCTATACGATCAAACAACAAACTGTTTATCATGAATGCAGGAATGTGGGCAAACTCACAGCCGCCAGAAGGTATGCTGAGTGCAATCACTCCCTGGTACCATTGTCCTTGAGGTTATCTACTGGAACATCTAAAGACTACTGTTCAGAGAATACAGTCGTGCAGGCCTGCACTGAGTCAAGCAGCCTACTGACAACCACCTCCTTCTCCCTATCTCCTTTTCTCAATAAATATGAAGGAAGCTAGAAGCTCAGGGCCCTTGTTCACTAAAAGCAAGGAGCCCCCTGACCCCATCATCCAAATGTACTCTTTTGTCTTTGTCTTTATTCCCACGTGCATCCCACTTTGTTCCATCCAACAGGGACTGGGGCCATGACACAAAAAGATCTAAGCCAGGGACAGTGAATTCCAAGGAAGTCACTAGGAGATCTATTGGTGTGGAGTGTCAAAGAGGAGTTATAAAGCTAGTGGGAGATAAGAGTTACTTTAGTTTATTTGTACAGGTCTACTGCAGCAAAAATTTCCAAACCTGGGGTTACGGTTATTTTCTTGTCTTGGCTCAGGGAAGGCATCTTTCTCCATGGAAATTTTATGGCTTGCTATATGCAGGAAAAGGCAGGTCAGATAGTCACTTCTGGAACTACAGTTTCCAAAGTGCTTTGAGCTTGAAGTAATCAATACACTAATTTGGCATATTTTAGAGTGGCATACTTTTAACTCCTTTATTTTTCCTGTCTGAAACTTCCGTAACAGTTTCAAATTAAAAGCTGAGTTGGTATTTGTGGAGAGAAGAGTTGTGTTAGCAGCTGAGTGGCAAGGGATCTGCAAAGGGAGAGAAGAACACAGATTAGAAGGAGAATTAATAAGCAGAAAAGCACAATCTAAACACATTTACCCATACTCCATTCAACCAGTCTCCTATCCCTGACAATGGGTCAGTCCAATTGAATGGTTTAGCTTCATTTATATGATGAAGAGTATTTATCTTGTCTTTCAAAAAGTTCAGATTAGATTCTATTTGTCCCTGCTGGTTTACATATAAGCAGCGTTCCTCACCAATGATTGCACAAGCTGCTCCTTCTTGGGCTGTTATTCTATCCAGGACATGGTGATTCTGGAGTACAACAGAGGCTAAACTGTTAACTTCTGATTGGAGTCTTCTCAGTGCTTGCATAGTAATACTGACTCCTGTTCTATTACCATGGAAACATTGAGAATTGCCCTTTCCCTCTCATAAGTTCCAAAGCCTGGGAAAATGGATCTCAGCGTGGAAAGGAACTTAGAATCGTGACATATAAGGGGATTTTCTGTAACATCTCATTTAGTACGCTTGTGTGGCATTACTTTATAAACAAAGGAGCCCAAGTTTATAATTTGGCTGGCATTGAAGGAGGATTACCTGGTGACAAAGGCATTGGGTATCTGAGTCCCTATCATTCTGACCATGTAGGTGAGAACCCTTCATAGACCTTGTCACCATGCAAGATAAAAAGACCAGTGTGGTTCACAAATAATATCAGAGTCAAATTTGTGACCCAACAGATTGGGGTTTGTTGTGCCTGGTCTTTCTGTCACATTGGCATCTGTGAATCTGTATGTGTCCCTGTCAGTCCATAGGAGCAGAACAGATTGCACAATATCAGATATAGGAGATCTTTAGTTTGGTTTTGGCAGCTGTAGGGCTTGATTTTGTCACCTGGCCAAGCTATTCCACATTTTTTGAATACTCACCATGCTATCACCATGTAATCTTTGGTGCCTATCAGTCTAATGAGGAGAGCAAGTGAGCAAGTCCAAGTTGCACAGGGCTGACTTCTGGGCCATCCATAACATCTGGTGATGTGGCAAGTGTTTGTACCATAAGAGTGTCAGGACCATTTATGACCTTCATGAGAGGCTTATGTGCCATCTGTGGCATCAAGTCACAGGGTTTGATTGTGCTACTGCCTTGGGAAGTTACCTGTGAAAGATCCTGCATCATCTCTGCTTTCAGTACAAAGGGAAAAATCCCCTTCTAATATCTTTACCTAAACAAACGACATTCCTCAACCTTCTACGCAGGTGTCCAACTCACCAAAAAGAGAGGTAGTATGACGTTGTTTTCTTTTCATGGAAGCCATACTTTGTCATGTGTCCGTGCTCCGGACTTGACCCACCAGGCACTTGCATCAGGAGGAATGAAAATAAGTTCAGATAATTTTGTATAATCTAGATGCTGATATACCAGCAATCAGATGGCTTAGTTCATGTGGCCAGGGTTTGGAAAACTCGTGCAAAGCGATGTTAGTTCTGTGCCTAAACTGTTAAGAAAACAGTAAAGGTTAATAACACTAAGACATAGTTTGAAAGAAAGTCCATAGTGGAGGATCAGAGGGAGAACTGAACAGACTGAGATAGTCTCCAGTCAGCTTTTTCAAGAAGTGCTCAAAGAACAAAGAGGACTTTGTGAAGAAAGAAAAGGGTTTTGGGTTTTTTTGTTTGTTTGGGTTTGTTTGTTTTTGTTTGTTTGTTTGTTTGTTTTTTGAAGGTAGAGAGAACCAGTTCCTGTTATACTAACGATGTACACCCTGTCTTGGACCTCAACACCACATGGAAGTCCCATGAGGACTGGGGAAACTACCATGCTCATTCACACAACATCTCTCATTGGTCCAGAGTTGCTTTCAGATGATTTAACTCCTTCTTGTTTCCAGCTTGCTCCATGACTGCACTGAGCACACCCCCGTAAAGCAGAAAGCCATTAGTGTGTATAGGACTTGTCATCCATGCTACAGACAGCCTCAAGGTTCAGCCTAAGAGGATACAGGCAGGTACCACCAGCATCTGCTGTACCAGACTTTCCAGCCCCAAATACGTTTACTTTTACTCTCATTTCTCTAGGATTGTATTTTCCAAGTAAACCATTTAGATTTAATCCTTGCCTCAGCATATGTTTTCTAAGGAACCTGGGTACAGTAGATGCTGAAAGCCCACCCTACATCTTCTCGTCCCACTTGAGTTCACTTGCAGCCACAGTAGACAATCTCCATGCTCTGAGAGTTTACCACTTCACGTGCTTATATCTCAGATATTCTTTTCCTTACAGCTTTCTCCTGAACCATGGAGTATTAATCAAAGTTGTGTTTCACATGACTTCTCAGAAAGCGCACAGGGATGGCTCCAGTTGTACACAGAGAAAACCTATTCATTAGTCTACCCTGTTTTGTGCTTCCCCAGAAAACTAACTCCACTTAAATCCTGTCTCTGGGTCTGCTTTTTGGGCAATCCCAATTAAAACAGGAGGTAAGACTCTATGCTTGTTATAAACAGGTTAATTCTACCCACCAATCCTGGTATAATTGACTGATATAGCTCTAATTAACTCAGTGAATATAAAATAACTATGCAGCTTTTCTTAAAATAAGAATATTGCAAAGTACACTGCTTCTTGTAAAAATGTACAAGTAAAATAAGGTGACTCTAACAAATTAACTTTAAAATACAATACAGGATCCCAATTTACCAGCAAAGCACTGATAAAGGATTTATTCTATGAAGTGTATCAGGACAACAGGCTACCCACTTGGAAAAGTATACGATTATTTACCTATCTCATTCCTTATAGCAAAATAAATTCCACAATTAAGCATAAAAGATGAAACCAACATAATCCCAGAAACAATGGATTATTTCAAAGTAATCTCAAGCAGAAATACAAAACTCAGCAAATATAAAAGAACATTAGGCTGACAAATTTTACTTTAATCAACTTCAATGGTTTTTTTTACCATAAAGCCTTTCAAAAAAGAATCAATAAACTGGAGCAGCTATCTTTTGTCTCCATATGGATGTGTACACTTACAACATGTGGAGCTTTCTCTCATTTGACCAGATTGTATTATTGGTTCACTCCTCCCTCCTTGTGTGGCTCCAGTAGCTGTCCTCTGCTACTTTTTGCTAACACATTGTTGGACCCTCTCCATCTCTATTCCTAGAGGGCATCAAACCATAAAGGGGTGACCACAAAGTGACAGGGCACACAAGTGGAACACTTACCATTTCATAAGGAATGCTTCTACGAAGATATAACATTTAACCTCTATTGAGAGAAAATAGGAGTTTTCCAGGGCAAGGGAGTAGGGGCAGGGTGGTAAACGGCATTTTGGGAATTGGAGATTTCATGTACAGAGAATATGCAGAGAATGACACAGCCAAATATATTGAAACATGAAATAGAAGATGCAAAGTTGGCAACGCATAATGAAAAATAATATGCAAAAGGTATTTTGACTCAATTTACAGAGTGCCATTCAGAAGTTAACTGATCAATACAAAGGGTATCTGACTCATTCTGTGTTTTCAAGAGACAGGCTTTCCAAAAACATGGAGAATAGACAGAGGAGAAGATACATTGGGGGAAGAAAAGACCAGCAAAATGTGTCAGGTACAAACAGCAGCATTTTAAATATTCAAAGTTTAATTTTGAGCAACAGCTCCAGTAGTTTATAAAAGAGGATCAGAATGACATCCCAAGGTATCAAAATATTATTTTTACTTTTCATAATTTCATGTATTTAATACTCCATTCAGATTCATGACTTCATTTAAGTATTTATTGAGTAGTAAGCACTGTGCAGTGTTCCAGCTATTGAGGATACAATGGTGAGCAAAACAGATGAAAACAATCCCGCCATCATGGATTGTGGTATGTATGTGAAGTATACATGGTATGTGAAGCAAGCAAATGATCCAAAAGGTTATCCAAACTGCCAAATTAAGACAAAAAGCTAGGAAGCACACAGGGAGCAAAATCAGGAAATTTCATCAGATAACAATTTCTTTATACTTAACAAAAATTCACTTATTTCTCTCTTTTGGTTACCAAATAAAAGAAGTTGGGGGGGACGAATATTATTATCACCCCTACACCTTTTCAGATTTTGAAGCAGAACATCAGAAAAGGTAAGTAATTTTCTCACATTGATAAATGTCAGTAGAGAGGCAAGCCTCACCCCTGGACTCTCTGATGCAGACACATCTCATGCCTTTCCCATAAGTCATCTCTGTGCACAAGAAACACAACAAGGACTAAAGGGAGGGAAGGATGTAGCTTTATTTGCTGCTTAAAACAATGAACAATAGATAGAAACATGTTAAGAATAACTTGAACTTAATGACAATGTTTGTGGTTCTGACGTACGGGAAGATCTTTGCAGCTTTCTGGAAATGGTCAGAAATATGCTGTTTCAGGGATGTACTACCATTTCTACTGCAGAGAGACTAAAGTGTAATAATGCATGGATAATTAAATTAGAGACATTTTGTTAACCTGATGAATGAGCCTTAGTTTCTTTGGGACCAGAACATTGTTGTAGATACATAAGAAGCCCAACAGTAAACAGGAAAATCAAAACAGACAAAGAAGGAATCACAATCAGTAGCAAAAATCCTCTTTTCTTTGCAGATGCTGGGCCACTGTCAACACTACCCCCATAGCCTCTGTGCAGGCAGTAGGGAGGGGACCACCCATAGCCACAGTGGCAGTGATGTTGGTTATTGCAGATCCCCTTCATATTGCAGGTCTCAGGAAGGCAGACGTGTGACAAGACAGACAGACTGACACACTTCTTGTGGATGCAGATCTTTCCTGGGCCACACACAGTACCATCTTTCACGTCACCAATGTCAGGTATGTTCATCCTTAAATGATAGTCAATACCCCAGCAGGTGACGCCATTGATACGAGTGTGCTGCAAAGTAAAATGATCTTGGAGAAGAGGAATGTCTCTCACATTCTCACATTGAACTCTCCCACAAAAGACATCAGAGATATGACATTTTAGGTATGTTGTGCCATTTATACCACAGTGACCAAAACGGTTTCCCTGCGAGTTGATTTCTTTATAGCAATTCTGAGATGCACTTTTTGCATCTTTACCAAAAATCTCCCTGCAATGCTGGTCATGGTTATTACATCTCTTTTGATAGCAGTAGGCACTGTCACTACAGGGGAACCCGTCCTGCACATATCTATCTTCTGGACACTGATGGGATGTTCCATTGCACCATTCTGGGAGGTCACATTCATTGACCTCTTGTCTACAGAGTTCCCCTGATGGCATGAACTTGCAGTCTTTGCAACAAAGCCCAAAAGCACAGGCAGCCCCAGGCCTTAAAGTACAGTTCAACAGACAACAGGCATCTTGTTCACACTGCTGTATGGATCCACAGTCACACTGCTCTTCTCTTTCAACCACACCATTCCCACAGCGCTTTAGCATAAAGATTTCCCCCAATCTTGGAGGATTATGCAGACATGATCCCTGGCTTAAAGTGGTCTTCATAAAATCAGCATAACTGCAATTGGTGAATTTCTCTGCTGGCACTCTAAAAGTATTCATGATGCAACCTCTTTCCCCACAAAAACAGAATTCTTCATCATGCTGCATACCCAAAATATGACCTAACTCATGGGCCACAGTGTTGGCAAAAAGAGACCAGGTATCTCCTTGAAAATTATCAACTCCACAATCAATAGGTGGATGACATATTCCTGCAATGTAGGCTAGACCAAGTATACGTATAAGTGAATTTTTTATGAACATATGTGCAGCATCATGCTGTATTTGGGAAAGACTGATTTGTTTCCATTGAGAGAAATCGTTCAGGACCTGTTCTATGCTTGTCATTGGGAAAACATTTCCTTGATTCCAAATTTCAATTCCAGTCAAAATTACATAACTACCTAACTGCTTATACATGGAATCCACTATGTTGACAACAAGAAATACATCCTCTTGTACCTTTGAGATGTTGCTTTGAGAGTAAATGAAGAAATCATGGTTCACCACAACAACTAGCTCCAGAAACCATGCATGGGTCCACCAGTCACCAGCAGATTTTGGTTCCAGAGCTGAGTTCTCAGCCTCTTCAAATGCCAACTGTTGGCGTGCTACTTCCTTCTCTGTTAAGCCACATCTCATAGCTGAGAATTGTGTCTCGTTACTGTTTATCTTATAAACCAGGTGTTCAAATGTGGGAGAGTGCCTGATGGGTTCAATTTCATAAGTGAGGCCATTTATTTGTAATACCCCTCGAAAGCCCCCAAAACAAGCACTGAACACAGCCAGAGACTCAGGGACCCCCTCCACGTAACCATGATAGTAACAGTCATCTGGGATGAAGGGCTGATCCTCCAGGAGGGCATGCTCATCTGTGTAGGTGAACACTGGGAGGTGTCTAGAAACCAAGAGCTTCTTGACCCTCATATGAACAATGTGTCTCTGGCCCCCAAACCACAGACTATAGGAGAGCCATCCAGGAGCCTTTGCACTTCTGCCCCTGCTGATCACCTTCAAGGGGATCACCACTTCTGGGGAAGTGAAATGCTGGGAGGGCCCAGCCTGACAGTAGCCAGAAATGGACAAAAACACCCCAAGCCAGAGCAGCAGAAGAGCGACCCTGATGTACACTAGGGTCCCATCCACTGCCATTATGAAGTTGTCGTCATGGAGCCATCTGTCCAGAGCAGAAGAGGACAAAGTGTGAGGCACTTCTGGTCTGGCTCCTCCCTCTAAGCTGCTCAGGATGCAGGGCTGACCCTATGGATCTGTGTCCTGGCAGAGTTAGATCAGAACTGCAGTGCTGGAAGTAAAAATAAAAAGATGGGTTGGAAAGGTGATAAGTAAGGAAATCAGGAGAGAAAAAGAATGGAGTGGTGAAAAACTGGTTGATGAATCAAGAAAATGCTTCGGATTTGCTTTTAGTAAATAAAGGTGGGAAGTTAGGGGGTACAGAAAAGACAACATTGGCCACGTGGTGATAATAGTTGAAGTTGGAAGACGGGTACTTAAATAGTTATCTCAGTCTTTACAGGCAGTATGAAAATTTCCATAATAAAAAGTAAAAGCAAAAGTAAAGAAACTTAAGAGTAGGGTGACTCTATATCTCAATTTGTTCAAGATAATATTAGTTTATACCTGTTGCCCTTGCAATAACTATTGATAGTGTCTCCTTTGACTGTCCAAACTGGAGACATTAAAAACAATCACAATTCTGTGTCAAGTTGCATCAGTCTTATGATTTACTTTAGTTTCTTTATCTCAAAGTTATTTATTATTCCTCATTGTATTCATCTTTACTCATAACTTCATTAGACTGAAAGATTCTTGACTGCATGGTTTATGATTTTCTTTCATTTTAGTATCCTCTGTAATGCCTCATAGAGCTCTATGTACAATGAAAAGTGGAAAGAGGGAGGAGGAATTGTGAAATGTCTTGGATTGTAAGTGAATGCTACTAAAATGTATTCATATTGTAGTATAATTTTTAGAAAAGAAAAGAAAATTCAGGAAACATTGACATGATTTAAGGGTAAGGAGAGAATAATGTTGTTCTCTCCAGTTAGCCATAGGAGAAACCCAAAGACAAAAGCAAAGGCTTTCAGAAGAGAAAATGAAAATCTGTGCAGTTTAAAGGTCTTGGGAAAAGGAACTCTTGTCTTATTAGGGCAAAACCGTTGGAGAGTCTGGCATTTTCGGATTGCCAGGGAAGAGTCCCAAGGTTTGCTCAAATATATTTACCAAGAGTTTTTGAAAGTAGGGAATTTCTGCACCTGTCATACAGTCTGGCTGGCAATACTTATCTATTTCTTTTTCTATTTATTAAACATGTCTTTATGTGTTTTGAGCATATAAAGTGCAGGACCTTGTTCTAGATATTAGAGAAAGAAAATCAAAATACAGAGCATTAAATAAATTACCAATTTTGTGCAGAAACTTGTGGCAGGAGCATGAATAAGCCTCAGGAGGTCTATAATATTGTATTCGATATTTTATATATTTCATGACTTTTTTTTTTTTTGCTGAGGAGAGTGTCCGTCCATATATTTCATCATAGTCTCAAATGACTGTCAAAAGTGAGGCTAATAAGCACTGAGCATGTGTAGAAACAAACAAAAAACAGATAATTATAATATAATATGATCAAAACCAGATAACAAAGTTTATGCTTCAGGGATCCTCATTGTCCAGACCTCTATAAAGACCCTGTAAGGGGCTCAGCAATGGACTTTATGAAAGTCATATAATTATAAGTAATCAAAATTAGTCACTATACAAGAAAAATCTCAAACACCCTGAAACATTACATCGCACACATAAAAGACTTAATAAAGGTTTTCTAAAATTTGACCATAGTAAATTTAATTATTTATCTGATTACGAATAACAAGCTGTGAAGCTGAATTTTCTTTTCTAAACTATTAATAATACAAACTAAATTTCTATTAAACATACTAAGGAAAGGCAAATGCCTTTCAGTTCTTGCTATAGAAATTGTAACAAAATAATTCTCTTAAGGGAGGCAGTTAAATAAGAAGCAATTTGAAAACTGTAGGGAAAAGGTATCAAGGAAGTGAGTCAGGAAGTTGATTAGTATAAATATGAGGGGATTAAATTTTCTGATGTTTATGGCGTTTTCAACCTTTTAATGTTTATAATTTGTTGTGGCTTCTTTCTTATGCTAAATAGATCCTCATTTTCATACTTATTTTCTGCAATTGTAACTTGGTATTGTTTTTCTCAAAGTGGGCCCTCATCTTATAGGTGCATCAGGCCCAAAAACTTAATTTCATCTCTGACTGTGATCAATGTATTGATGAAGGTAGGTGCCATTTCTTATAAGAACAAAAAGGAAAAGCATTTAAATCAAGCTAATCTAAGAAGACTTACATAGAAGATACACAAATGAACATGCCTGACCCAACACCAATCATCTCCTGGATTTTGAATCCATTTCTAATCAATGCTTTCTTTGCCCTGATTCAAGTTTCCTTGTATTCTCTTCTTATAACTTCCCTTGTGCTTTCCAGAGTCTTCCTTTAAAGACAAAAGGAGGGAGAGAAAGAGAGAGAGAGAAAGAGCGAGAGAGAGAATGAACCAACTCCATCCTGAACCTCTTCACAGAAAGCTCCCTACATCTACTTACCTTATTAAACCTGAGCTTTAATAGAATTTACTTCTTGCCTAAAGGCTTCCTCTTGAGAAACCCCATCCTCAGAAGTCACATGTACCACAAAGTCCAGAGTTCCTGTTCTCCACAGCCCACAACATCAACACCAAATCATTTATCCTGCAATATCTGACCACACTATTTTTCAGATGTCTCTTCAACCACCCTTATCACACTTGGACAAAACTGATAGGCTCTGGCCCCTAACTAATAAAATTATTTTCCACCAAAAATCCTACCCTCATCTTAAAGTACTATTAGCAAGTATATAGACAACCCATCTGAAAACAAGACAGGGTTTTTTAAGTTTTTTTTTTTTAACCTCTTCAATTCATCTTCAGTGTAATTCAGCCCACCCACTCATAGTCATAATGTATACCTTGTCAACACACAATTTCATATATCCTAAGCAATTTACCAACAATTTTAGTTCTCCCAGCTCTCCCCCTTACTTCTGCTATACCTGTTTCTCAAACTCAAAGAGAACCCACTTTTCTTTCATCGTCTCCCATTTCATTCAATGTTCTTGTCTCCGAATCCATTCGAGCTCTGCTACCAGTTTAATCCCTTCAAGCACTGTATGCCAAAATCTTTAACTCTAAAGTCCTAACTGTGACAGAGATTGTTGGGGGGTGGGGGATGGGCAGGAACTGCATTAAATCTTCACATACTTTCTCCACTCCTACATCAAAGCCACCAATGCTACTCTGGAAAAAAAAAAAAATCCCAAAACCAATGTGTTTGTGAAAGGCTTAAAAAGAGAATATAGAAATCAAAACTGAAATGGCTTGTCCTGGATCCCCAGCCTAAGGAATAGAGATATAAAATCCAGTAGATATTTCAAAACTTTCTATGCCACATTGCTGTTTTCTTTATTCTCCTGGATATTGCATTCACACCTCCTCAATATTCTGAGTTTCATCATTTATGTATAGTGCCAGCAGCTGAAAATCCATTCTCATTATCTCTCAATCACAGTAGAGTTAGTTAACCAAGTACCTTTCCTTTCTAATATAAAGTATTTAAGGTTTTTTTCTTTTCTTGTCCTAGATTGGCTATGTGGATGCTGGAAGATGGGGAAAACTTGTTTCAATCTGAACATTATCCTTGCCATCAACTTGCCTAAAGAGGCTGGATTCATCTGGGTGGTTTTCACTGTTGCAAGTTAGGCACCTTATTCCATGAGGTGCAAGTAGCATGGAAGAGAAAAGCAAAGTTCATAGACAAAACTTCCAAGAACAAAGATCTCTGAATTGGGAGGAAATTCTAACTGCCAGATTTGCTCTCGGTATTTCTCTTGATATGTTTTCTGCTTATTATGGAGTGACAGTTGTTGTGGTTGGGAAGATTGAAAATGGGAAGCACTAATCAAAGATATAATGTTGTGGAAAGGACTGATAAGCTGCACAAACTCGTATCATATTATTCTTTTTCTTGGAGCTCAGCATGAGAGCAGGCAATAACAGGAGAATAACTTCAAAAATATCTGTAAGCCAGATTCATTGTCTTCATTCCTAGGACTTACAGAGACCAAAGCTCCTGAAGTACCATCATTCTACCAGGGATACTGTGAGGTGGTCCCACTCTAAATCCATGTCCTCTAACATCAGTGGACTGTCAAGTGAGCCAACAGCCAACTTATTCATGTTTGATAAACTCTTCCTTTCCCCACAGCTATTTCAAATTCATCAAGATCCCTCTCTACCCATCTTCCCTCTTATTCCAATGCCCTAATGCACTGTTTTCCTATCTGTCTGTCACTAGTATCTGTCCCATTAGAGTCATGGAAGTAATTCAGCTGGTTATAGCCTGCAGGTTTTTTTCCTTAACGAAATAGAACAGAAATATCAGAAGGCATCCCTAGAAGATCCTTAGCAACTCTTGAATACACAGTGCCAAATATTTGGGTTTAAGTGTGTGGAAGGCCACAATGTCACAATATAAAATGGATTTCTTTCTCTGGAGTATGAGAGAGATATATATACCAAATTCAAAGACAAAATGGTTTCTAGGCCTTTTACCGTCTGAATCCACCTACGTCTACCTCTTCTCTACCTTACTCCCTCTCTAGTCTCATTAGCCCCTCATAGTTCCAGATCATCTCTCCCACCTACTTGAGGATTGTTTCTATCAATTTTCCCTACTCTCAACTGCATCTTCATCTTCTACTACTTTTTCTATTCCTTACTGGCAATTGGGGTGACTACCTCATCCTGATTTTCCCAGGACAGTCCTGGTTTTAAAACTGAAAGTCCTGCACCCAGCAATCCCCTCAGTCCCAACCCAACTGGAATAGTTCATCACCCTACCTACACCCATGCTCAAGTCACTCATATCTTTAAAAATGAAAACAAAACAAAAATTCAGAGACTTCACAGCATCCAGTGGACTACTCTGGATACCAAATTATGCATAGAACCAAACTTGATGACTTACCATCAGAAGAAACAGTAGTTTCCATGGCCATTTCTGTGTAGATGGTTTATACCACCCTTTATCAATGGTTTGTAGCTGAGGTCACAGAACAAAGGGAAACATAGGCCCTCTCCCTTTTGTCTCTCAGGTGACTAAATTCTAGATTTAGCTACTTAGCAACAAGGAACTTTCAATTCTACAGAAATAATAATAGACTCTCAAGAATATCTTGCTCTCATCCTGCTATTTCTATACTCATTTCCAAATTCAATCCAGTTGGAATTGGGTTGTCTCCTCACCTCCAGTCTATGAACCCTGACAGCACAGGTTTATAATTTTGCTCATGCCATTGCATTGGTCTAGACTGTCTAATCACTTTTCCCATTGAACTGAATTACAGTAACTTTCTAGGGCAAGATCAAATTCCACTTCCATTATCAAATCTTTCCTAAATAATCCAGAAAACATTAACATCCTGTAACTCTCTTTATAACTATAACATGCAACACATTTTTGTGTGACAAAATTTATATCCTTGCATTTTCTGTTTTATACGTGAGTTTTAAAAATTGCATCTCCTATTAGACTATAATGTTTTGGAGAAAAATATGCTCAAAATGGTTGGTGGAGAATTTATGGTAAAGTGTTTGTTAAAATATATAATCAATAAGGTGAGTTCAATATACAAAAACTACATAGGATAAGGACTAATTTAATAAAATATTAACTCTAACTTTGGGAGTTTCTGTTTTAGATTCTTGTCAACTCTTAATTTACCTGGTAGAATCAGAGCCTCATGAGATAACCATCAATTAGAAGCAGTTTTAATTACAGTCCCCTTCCACTTCCTGCTGGAAAAGATTCTACTATTTATGCTGGTTTCTTTAGAAATCTGACGAGGTTCCTTTTTATAAACTGTTTTGCTCATACAGGCAAAACTGGAGACACCTCTGCCTTAGGAGGGATAGATACAAAGAGGTTTGTCTTCCGCTGGACTCAGTGGATAACCTCTGCTTTTACACCAGACATCACTTACAATTAAGTATACATAGCCCCAAAAAATGAGAGTAGAGGAAATCACATACATTCAATCATGGAAAAAGCTTAGTAGCAAGCCAGTAGCACTAGTAAGCAGAGCAAATAAACCCTATGCAGGGAGAAAGATAACTGAGGAAGAATAGAATTCCTGCTTCAACAAATAGTAACCTGCAAGATCTATAGGTGGGAAAAGAATGAAAGCTTCTGAAAGCAGCTTGGCTTGATCTCTCTAGCTGTAAGAAGGAATAACATTTATTTCTTCTTCTTCTTCTTTTTTTTTTTTTTTTTTTTTGACAGGGTCTCACTCTGTCACCCAGGCTGGAGTGCAGCTGCAGCTGTTTTTTTTTTTGTTTGCATCTTTTATAGAGATAGGGTTTCTCCATGTTGGTCAGGCTGGTCTCAAACTCCTGGGCTCAAGTGATCTGGCTTCCCAAAGTGCTAGGATTACAGGCACCCGGACAACATTTATTTCTTTGTAGAATCAGCACTAAGAACTTCTGGTTCCAGAAAAGATAGAATAGACACATTTCTTCCTATTACTCCTAGTAAGTACAGTAAGTCCTCAATGTCATGAATAGGTTCTTGGAAACTGCAACTTTAGGTGAAACAATGTACAGTAGGTACTGAAATAACATTGTTTTGTCCAATGTGTTTCATTACAACACTGATGAGACAAATAAAAATTTGTTATATGTTACTTTGCATTGTTAAAGTCACAGTTTCTGAGAACCTATTGCTGATGTGAGGACTTATTGTGCAAGTAAAAACACTGTGTTTTAAATAGAAAACAAACATAAGAAGGTTAAGAAAGGTAGAGAAAATCATGCAGAGAAGCTACCTACCCTGGGAGCTAAGGAATAACATGGTGGTGAATCCGTGAGTTTTCTTTTAACCTCAAGCAATCTGGAGAAGCCTGTAACATTTTAATGCCAACAGACATACAACAAAAAGATAAGCATTTTGAGATAGCCATAATGAACTGCTTCGATGAGCAATTACAAATATGACTAAAATGAAAAAAATAGAAACTTGGAGCAAAAAAATGAGAAAGTCTCAGGAAATAAATATAAAATATAAAGATGAAAATAATAGAAATTTTAGAATTGAAAAGTACAATAACCAAATCCAAATTCACTGGATGACTCAACAGCAGGACAGAGAAGAGAGAAAAAAATCAGCAAACTTGAACATAGAGAAATAGTTAATACTAAATGTTTGTTAGATTTATACCTAAGTATGTCATTTTTTAGGAGGTGTTAATATAAACGGTTACATTCCAAAGAGATCAAATCATATCTGTACAAAATTGTTTATTGTGGGATAATGTGTACTACCAAAGCTTTGTGTACAATTCTAATTCCATCATTAGAAAGCTATTAAGTAAACAGCAGTGCTTCTACATCATGAATAATATGCAGTCATAAATGAAAAAGGATTATCTCTTTACATTAATATTCAATGATTTCCAGGGTCAGTAAGTTTAAAAAACAAGATTAAGAGAAGTATATGTGGCACAGTACATTTTGTGTAAGGAAGGAGAAAAAGGAGAATTCTGAGAAGATGACAATGATGAGACTTGGATCCGTCTATTAGGAAAGATAGAGCTGATAGATGCAGGAGGCAGATAAGGGAAACTGCCCATGGTCTTGCCTGAGCAGGCTCACAATGAACTGGGGGCCCGTATATTCACTGGAAGAATGGGGTGGAGCCATCAGGAATTTACATCTTATGCTGGGGGAGGGGCCCAGCCTCTTCAGCTTGTGTGAAGTGGCCTGGTCTTCAATCTGTGAGGTGGTAGCATGTTGGCGGGACCCGTTCTTTCTTTGCTGAGCTTTGCTTTTGCCTAAGAGATCTACCCTCCTCATCCTTCAATTTGTCCAAGTGCCTAATTTTTCCTGGTTGTGAGACAGAAACCTGGATTTCAGCTGAACTAAGGAGCAAAAAATCCTGCATCATTTGGTAGCCCGTAGAGGGACATGAGGAGGGGCGAGTAAAGTGCGGACCCAAAAATCTCTTTCCCTTTCATTTCTGAGCCTTTTTGTCCTCACACTTCTTCTGAGGGTAGAGGAAACTGCCCGGGCCCCAAGGCAGCCTCAGGGTCCCACACCCTGCACCAACAGCTGGCCAACGTTCCTGTCACATACACATGGAGTCTTCCCCTCCCCTGGCCAAGGGGTCCAGCTCAGTCCAAGCCCCAGGGAAGAAACAGCAATTAAAAGTTTCTCTCCCAGTAGAAGAAACTCATTTGCATAAGAATAAGAGGTTTCTTCCCCAGGCATCTTTTTCTTTTCTCCATTTTTCAGCAATTAACACAGCCCAGCATTTAGGTTATTTTTTCCTTTCTCTACCAGGTCAGAAGTTAACTTTTATGTGAAAGGCTTTTTTTTTCCCCCCTTTCAGAAGATGTTTTACTAGATTGGGACCCCAATTCAAAGACACTCTTTTCTATCCCTTGTTGGAGAAGGACTCAAATTCACAGCTTCACCTTAGCATTCAGCTTATAAGGAGTCCATGCAATTCAACCCCCCAGAAACATTTTTTACCCAAACTAAATTCCAAGTTCAGGAACTCAAAGGCTACTGACAGCAGGGGAGATAGGGCATATGTGGGTAAGAGAAGATAATTCCACCCCCTAGACCCCTCTGTTAACATGGGTGAAAGCTGCTTTGATACCCATGGGTGGTAACCTGTTGTGGTTGCTGGAACTCAGAAATATAAGGATGGAAGAAAGAAAGAGACATGCTTTGCTTTCTCTACCTCATATACCCTGGGTATTTGCTAGGGTATAGGAAGGGAACACCAGGGACACCTTGCTCCCCTCTTTCTAGATGAGTAGCCATTCATCTTCAGTCTGTACCTCTCTGAATGCATCCTGAGTCCTGGGGCTCCTTTTAAAAAATGCCATATTTTTCCTTTTTCCTCCTCTGTTCGCAGATGGATGCTTATGTCCCCATGCTGCAGGACACTCCCCTCAAATGTAGCCTCCAAACTGGGAAAAGTTAACTTCCCAAGCCTTAAACTAGTTGTCTTGGGATTGAGCTCAGTGGGGAGGGAACACAGAAGCCTGACATGCTGGCAAAAGGGTAAGAGGGTTTTTTTTTTTAACCAGTTGAGCTTTTGCCCCCCCGCCCCCCTGTGCAAACTGGTAAAGGGAATGATAAGGATCACTGTTTATATTCTCCGTAAAGTTTTAATTATGAGAAAGGATTCGGGAGGTTGGTCTTAAGCTGTAGCCAATCTGGTGTGCTTTGCATGCCTCTCTATATGGTTCTCTAAGAAACAGAGGTACCTTAGGATGGGATATAGGCCTAGGACTCCATAGGCCTTCTGCTCGAGCCAGCCTGGAAAACTGGTCAGTGGCAAAGTTTGCTGAAGGCCTCCATCATATTTTACGTACTTAGAAGCATGACCTGTAACCATGTGGCAGTGCTTTGTTTTTGCCTCTGCCATTTACAATGGTGGCCCAGGTTCAATCCTGGCTTAGGGAATGAGTCCTTTCTGGTTTGATACCTGTGTGACCTTTACCATTTGTTGATTCTCTTCCCTTCCACGAACCACCTTGAATTTTCCTTTCTGTGAGCACCTGGGAAGTTACGTTTCATAAAGTTCAAAAGCTAGAAATATTGACTCCTTGGCATGGCCAAAGTTGCATAATAAGGGATTTAAAAGGACTTTCTTAAAGAGTGTTCATCTTAACTAAAAGTGGATATCCAAGTTATAGGTATATTTAAAAGGCCTTTATGTTTTTCTCTTCTTGGATCTTGTTTTAGCGGAAAAAGTTTTTTTCTCAGTCAGGTGAATTCTTTTTCTCCATTTTGTCTTGCCACCCTTACGGCATGCATGAGAGGCCCTAAAATAATTTCTGATGGCCTGGGGCTTCTTGGGAAAAACAGAAAAGGTGCCACAGATTCCATTTTGGGAGAGACTCCTGTTTTCCTCATGGAGCCCTAGGAATTGGAGGCAGATGAATCCTTCTCAAAATCTGATTTTGTCTTCCAGCTATACCTGTTTTTTAGGCCCTAGAAACTGCATGCTTTCCTAGCCATGCTCTTAAAGGGACCACTCAGAGGTGAACAGTTCAACTAGGAGATTGCAGAACTGAAAATCTGATAACTACTGGATCTGCTTCTGCTTATCTGTGTGGTTATATAGGTGTAGTGTGTGATGTCTATTTTTAAAAAGAGCTCTAATTAATTGACTTAAAGAAGGATAAACACTAGGATCAAATATTTTTGAAGAAAAAATAAAAGCTATAATGCCTTTTAGTAAATGTGACTTCAATAATCAAGAAATAAAAAGAGACTTATGGATTCTGAACCCCCAAAATTTGAGACAGGTCTCAGTTAATTTAGAAAGTTTATCTTGCCATGGTTGAGGATGCAGCCATGAAACAGCCTCAGGAGGTCCTGAAGACATGTGCTTGGGGCGCAGCTTGGTTTTATACATTTTAGGGAGACATGAGACATCAATCAATATATGCACATCAGTTGCATCCAGAAAGGTGGAGACAACTCAAAGCAAGGCCCCCCTACTGGGGGCTTCCAGGTCACAGGTAGGTGAGAGATAGATGGTTGCATTTTTTTGAGTTTCTGATAAGTATTTTCAAAGGAGGCAATCAAAATATGCATCTATCTCTGTGACCACAGAGATGACTTCGAATAGAATGGGAGACAGATTTGCCCTCAGTGGTTCCCAGCTTGAGGGGGCCCAAGATATTTTCCTTTCACATTTCCCCCGTTTTCTTTTTAAAAATCTTTGGAGAAAGCATTTTACAAGGAAATGAGTCTCTGGTCTTGTTTCATGTGATCTCTCATGGTTAGGATGGCTTATTTCTAGATGTGTAGGTCACAATAGCTCATTTTTACCAGGCTGTAAAGTCTCATATCCTGTGAAGAGAAAATAGTGATGTGATGGTTAGTATTGAGTGTGAACTTGATTGGATTGAAGGATACAAAGAATTATCCTGGGTGTGTTTGTGAGTGTTTTGCCCAAGGAGATTAATGTTGGACTCAGTGGGCTGGGAAAGGCAGACCCACACTTAATCTGGGTGGGCACAATCTAATTAGCTGCCAGCCCAGCTAGAATATAAGCAGGCAGAAAATTGTGAAAAGAGAGACTGGCCTAGCCTCCATCCTCCTGTGCTGGATGCTTCCTGCCCTTGAATATCAGACTCCAAGTTCTTCAATTCTACAACTTGGACTGGCTCTCCTTGCCCCTAGCCTGCTGATGACCTTGTGATCATGTGAGTTAATGAAGCAGAAAATGTAAAAAGAAAAATAAGTAAAGGGAAAAACAAGTACTCCTGTACTTGGCTGACTCACTTCAATGCCAACAATAGGCAGAGCCCTAGTGGGGTCTTGATAATACTATCTGAAAAGCCAGAGCCCAAAGGAATGAGCTCCAGAGACTCTCCCAACACCTCCCCAACCCAGAGCAAGGATAAGAAAAACAAGTTGTTCTTAACAGTTTCCCCCTTTGAAATTCTTTTCCTATACCATTATCCTTTGATCTGCTCCCACAATTATTTCTGCAAGTTTGCAAGGATTTTGTAAGTTCCTGTTTTCCAGCTGTGCAGTATGGCAATGGTCACAAGACATGCCTGAGTTGTAAAACCTGTCACTGTTTCATGAACTGCCTTTGTTCTGCTTCTGTAAGCTTGCTTATCCACCTTATGGGTTTCATGCCCTTTTCAGATGTATGTATAAAAGTCAAGTCCTGTCTTTGTTTGGTGCAGCCTTTGGATATGAATCCGCTGAGTCAGTGACCACCTAATAAAATCCTCCTGTTCCATCCATTGCTCTCTCTGGTCTCCTGATTCCCACAACATTTTGGCGAGCCGGCCAGCAGTGGAGACGACAGGTTTGCTGTCTCCTTTGCCTGTGGGTCTAGGGCCCCGGGCTGGGGGAGACCTGTGACCTCACGTGCCACTGGGGCATCTCAAACCCGGAGAAGGAAGCAGCTCTCCCACGACTCGGGGCCCCTCCCTGACAGCGCAACGGAACCTAAGGAGCTACAGGACAATTCCAGGGACAGCGCACTATAGGAGCATGGTAAGGTTTGGGCCTGAGGCAGGACCCATCCCATAAGGATGGAAGGGGAGCCTGGTGACCACCTCCTGGGGTGTACCTAGTGCTCCGACCCAGGATGCGAGAGTGGCTCTCTAATTAGGAAGAAACATACACCCCAACCAGGAAAGAGGAACTGAGGGAGCAGGAAAGTGTGTGAATGCGTGTGAAAGGGGCGGTTTCAAAAGGAACCTATGTGGGGAATGAAGTGTGTGGGGCCGCAGGTTTCTTAGCATAGACCATACGCCCCGAGTGAAGTGTGGGACCGACCAGTACTAGTGGCAAACTTCTTTCGGGGCTACCACATACGGCTTATGGAAGCACCCCACAATTTAGTAAGTGTGGGGTCCGGGTCTGGGGTTTATACAAACCTTCCGATGCTAAGCTAAGTGGCATCTGAAATACTCCCATGAGGGGGATGGTCTAATTAGTCTGAAATGAAAGTAAAAGAGTGAGTGAATTGTGCAATAATTGGGAGGAAATGGGAGGGAAGTTGTCAAAACCCACCCCATTAGAATGTATGTTAAAGAACTTCAGGAAAGGTTATGCAAGAGATTATGGGATCAAGTTGACCCCCAAGAGGTTGAGAACCCTCTGTGTAATAGAGCGGCCCTTTTTTACTGTCAGACGGCTGGCCGAAGGAACTACAGATAGGGAAACAATTGGCTGTATATTTAAGGTGATCACTGGGATTGGAGGACAGCCAGGGCATCCAGACCAATTTCCTAACATTGACTCATGGCTAAATATAGTCCAAATTTGACCTGCATGGCTGCAGCCCTGCCTGGCAGCTTATTGCAAAATGCTGGTAGCTCAAGCCGAGCCTAAGATAAAAAAAGAAAATCAGTTTTGCTGTCAGCTACAGAGACAAAGGGAAAGCAACAGGAAAAACCAGTATTGCAGGAATCGCCAGAGGAGATAGAAATTCCTCCTCTATATACCCCAATCTACTCCCCTTTACCAAGGTTGGGCCCTGAGCAGCCAGACTCAGATGATGATATGCCCAGGCTACACCCCAAAGGGAGAAATCTGAGCCCTCATCCCAGGAGGTCAAGGAGGAAGTTCAGGATGATCAAGCAGGCCACCTTTGATCTGGCCACACCAGAACTTTGCAGACACCCCTCTGAGAAACCCGGGGATCCATCTATTATGATAAACAGGGCCAGGTCCAAAGGGGGCAATGAACTTCATTTGCCAGCCATCTGACACAACGTAGCACACCATGAAAGTTCCATAGAGACCAGGAGTTGTGTAATACATATACACAATGGAGTACTATTTCCTTATCCATTCGTCTGTTGAGGGACACTAGGTTGCTTCCAAATGTTGGCTATTATGAATAGTGCTACAATAAACACAGGAGTGCAGACATCTCTGATATACTGATTTCATTTCCTTTGGCTAAATACCTACCAGTGGGATTAGTGGATTTTATGGTAACTTACCTTCAGTTTGTTGAAGAACTTCCAAACTCTTCTCCATAGTGGTTGTACTAATTTACAATCATGCCAACAGTGTACAAGGGTTCCCTTTCCTCCACATCCTCGCCAGGATTTGTTATTGCCTGTCTTGGAAAAAAGCTATTTTAGGCCAGGCGTGGTGGCTCAAGCCTGTAATCCCAGCACTTTGGGAGGCTGAGACGGGCGGATCACGAGGTCAGGAGATCGAGACCATCCTGGCTAACATGGTGAAACCCTGTCTCTACTAAAAAAAATACAAAAAACTAGCTGGGTGAGGTGGCGGCGCCTGTAGTCCCAGCTACACGGGAGGCTGAGGCAGGAGAACGGCATAAACCTGGGAGGCGGAGCTTGTAGTGAGCTGAGATCCGGCCACTGCACTCCAGCCTGGGCGACAGAGCGAGACTCCGTCTCAAAAAAAAAAAAAAAAAAAAAAAAAGCTATTTTAACTGGGATAAAAAAATATTGTTACAGTTTCGATTTGCTGATGACTGATGATGTTGAGCATCTTTTCATATACCTGTTTGCCATTAGTATGTCTTCTTTTGAGAAAGGTCTATTCAGATATTTTGCCCATTTTTAAAATAGAAATACTAGATTTTTTCCCTATAGAGTTGTTTTGAGCTCCTTACATATTCTGGTTATTAATCCTTTGTCATATGAGTGGTTTGAAAATATTTTCTTCCATTCTGTGGGTTGTCTCTTCATTTTGTTGATAGTTTCCTTTGCTTTGCAAAAGGTGATGTGATCCTGTTTGTCCATTTTTGCTTTGATTGCCTGTGCTTTTGGGGTATGACTCAAGAAGTTTTTGCCCCAAGCAGTGTCCTGTAGAGTTTCCCCCAATATTTTCTTGTAGTAGTTTCACAGTTTGAGGTCCTAGATGGAAGTCTTTAATCCATTTTTTAAATTTTTATATATGTTGAGAGATAGAGGGTCTAGTTTCATTCTTCTGCATATGGACATCCAGTTTTCCTAGCACCATTTATTGATGAGACTGTCTTTTCTCCAATGTATGTTCTTGGCACCTTTGTCAAAAAATTAGTCCTTTGTAGATATATGGGTTTACTTCTGGGTTTTCTCTTCCGTTCCACTGGTGTATGTGACTCATTTTGAGCACATCAGCAATGTCAGTGAGAACAGCTGAGAGGAATTCAGGCAGTAGAACTAGTACACTAGTGACTGCAGCAGGTGATGAGACAGCAAATGACAACTGCAGTGTGACATTTAGCAAGTGACTGAGTTTAAGTTTCATCATCACTAAAATTCATTCATTCATTCAAAGCCTATTATAAGGCCAGACATGATGGCTTATACCCATAATCCCAGCCCTTTGCGGGAGCTGAGGCAGGAGATTGCCTGAGGCCAGGAGTTTTAGATCGGCCTGGGCAATGCAGCAAGACCCTATTGCTACAAAAAATAATTTTAAAAAATAAACAAAAAGAAAGCCAAGTTTGTGTTGGCAACTCTTACAGGTACTGGAGATAAAGCAGTGAACAAGAAGCAGTGGGGCAGATGGCACAGCAAATGCAAAGATCTAAACTGAATCAAATGTATTTGTTTGAGAAACAGAAGAAAGTTCAGTGTAGATGTAATGAATGAGGGAAGGGGGTTATGGTAGTAGATGAGTTAGGGAGCTTGACAAAGGCAGATTATCTGGTCTTAGAGGCAATGTTAAGGATATTGATTTTTTCCTACATGAGATGGAAATGACTGAAAGATTTAGATTGGGGCATGACGTGATCTGATTTACATCTTTGTAAGATTGCTCCAGCTGAGGGAAGAACAGATGGGAGGTATCGAGTGAGCAGCAGAAAAAACTTTCAGAAAGAACAGTAGAAGTAGTGGCAGTACATACTAATGGTTTGTAATAAGCTGGTAGTATCAGAGATGGTCAGATAGACTGTATTTCATACATAGCAACAACTATACTTTTGATGGGTTGAATGTAGAATGTAAGGGAAAGAAAGGAATCAAAAGCTGTTCTTAAGATATTCATGTGAACTCAGTAAACTGAGTTCCTCAAGGAAGGGGAACAGCTAAGGGAGGTATCAGTTTAGGGGTATAAGGGTTAGGAATTCTCATTTCATCATAATTTAAGATGCTTGATAGGCATCTAAATTTTGAGATGTCAGGTAGACAACTGGGTTACACAAGACTGAAGTTCAGTGAAGAGACATGACAGCTGGCATATTAATGGCATTACAGCCAGGGGTCTGAATTAGACTTCTTATAAAGATAGCATACATATACAGAAGAATAAAGAGTACCAATCAGAAAGGAGAATAGAAGATAAAATAATTGTAAATGCTTTGTGGATACCTGCTGTCATCAATAGCTGGGGTCAGCAGTGCAACTTTCTGCAAGAACTTGAAAATTAAAGCAATAATACTGCTATCAGGTGTAAACTTTAAAGTCAACATGTAATGGGCCAGAGCAGAGATATGCAATGCCAAAGGCTGTGACTTCCCTGGAATCTGTGCTATGGGCTGTATTGTATGCCTGCAAAATTCATCTGCTGAAGTACCTCAGAATGCAACCATATTTGGAGAAAAGGTCTTTAAAGAGGTAAGTTAAAATGTGGTCCTTAGGGTGGGCCCTAATCTAATATGAATGGTGTCCTTATAAGAAGAGGAGATTTGGAAACAGACATGTGTGCATACAGAGGAAAGACCATGTGAAGACAGAGGTAGAAGATGGCCATCCGCAAGCCAAGGAGAGAAGCCTCTGAGGAAACCAACTCTACCAGCACCCTGATCTTGGACTTCCAGATTCCACAGCTGTGAAAAAATAAATTTCCATTGTTTAAATTACAGTCTCTAGTATTAGTTACAGTAACACTAACAAACTAATATCATCTGATTAAATGTAATAATAATACAATAAAGAAAAAAGTTTGTCAATCAGAAAGGAGTTTCATCAGCTAAGGAAGCATAGAAAAAATAAAATATGCAGGAATTTGAAACTAAATAGGTAAGGGCAAAAAGTTGGAACAAATGCTATGTCAAAGGAGAGGTGGGTAAGTCTCAAAAACAAACATATTCATGAGTTGGTCATCAAAGAGGCTGATAGAGTAAAATACTGAAGTAGGAGGGGACTGAAGCAGACAAGAGAGATTAGAAAGACAAAGTGAATATATGACAGGAAGTATGCAAAAATAGAGCAAGGTGTGATTAAGGTGAGGTGAGGTTTCCACTAATTTTGTGAATGATAGATTGAAGTTGCCACTTCGTTCCATATTTTTTACATAACTCAAGGTCATAAACAGAAAGGTTAGTTCAGACAGAAAGTGTCACTTCTTGTGTCAGAGACTACCAATGGCATCCCAATATCCATTCTCCCATTTTCAGTTGATAATAATAACCTTGATTTTTATGGTTGGCACATTTCCATTCCTGAGATTACAAGAAGTCTGTGACATTTCCAGGAGGTCTTCTTTGCCTTTCCTTCATTACCTTCATGAAATGTAGATATGATGAAGTTCCAAATCCATTTTAAGCATCTTGGACCATGAAGTAGAGGCTACACTCCAGGGGCGAGCCACTGCGCCTGGCCTGATTCCGTAATTTTTCTCGGTTGTTTCCTCTGAGTAGAATCTCATTTTCTCTGTCATTTGCTTTCCTACATATTAAAGCTCCCTCATTGTTTTTTTTTTTTTTTAATTTATTTACTTTTATTATTTTTATTATTAGTAGTATTAGTATTAGTATTATTTTTTTGAGATAGAGTCTTGTTCTGTCACCCAGGCTGGAGTGCAGTGGTGTGATCTGGGCTCACTGCAAGCTCCGCCTCCCGGGTTCATGCCATTCTCCTGCCTCAGCCTCCCGAGTAGCTGGGACTACAGGCGCCTGCCACCTCGCCCGGCTAGTTTTTTGTATTTTTTTTTTTTTAGTAGAGATGGGGTTTCACCGTGTTAGCAGGATGGTCTCGATCTGCTGACCTCGTGATCTGCCCGTCTTGGCCTCCCAAAGTGCTGGGATTACAGGCTTGAGCCACCGCGCCCGGCCTACTTTTATAATTTTTTAATAGAGATGGGGTCTTGCTCTGTTACCGAGGCTAGAGTGCAGTGCTTCAATCATACCTCACTGCAGCCTCAAACCCCTGAGTTCAAATGATCCTCCTGCCTCAGCCTCTAGAGTAACTGGGACTACAAGCATATCACCATGCCCAGCTAGCTTCCTTGTTCTTCCGTTGTTACTGGAAAGGGATCCTGGTCCAGACCCCAACAGAGGGTCCTTTAAACTTGTGCAAGAAAGAATTTAGGGCAAGTCCATAGAGTAAAGTGAAAGCAAGTTTACAAAGAAAGTAAAGGAATAAAGAATGGCTACTCCATAGGCAGAGCAGCCCCGAGGGCCGCTGGTTTGCTATTTTTATGGTTATTTCTTGATTATATGCTAAACAAGGGGTGGATTATTCATGAGTTTTAGGGGAAATGGGTGGGCTATTCCTGGAACTGAGGGTTCCTCCCCTTTTCAGACCATATAGGAAACTTCCTGATGTTGCCATGGCATTTGTAAACTGTCATGGCACTGGTAGGGGTGTCTTTTAGCATGCTAATGCATTATAATTAGCATATGATGAGCAGTGAGGATGACCAGAGGCCACTTTAATCGCCATCTTGGTTTTGGTGGGTTTTGGCTGGCTTCTTTACCACATTCTTTTATTAGCAAGGTCTTTGTGACCTGTACCTTGTGCTGACCTATCTCATCCTGTGACTTAGAATGCCTAACCTCCTGGGGATGCAGCCCAGTAGGTCTCAGCCTTATTTTACCCAGCCCCTATTCAAGATGGAGTCGCTCCAGTTCAAAAGCCTCTGACACCATTATTCCCATACTTCTATTAGGGAATAAAGGCAATTTACACACCCCATGTCTCACTCTACTTACTACCAGTATTTCCTCAACTTGTTTAGGATACTTTTTTCTTTCACTGCCCTACGTATTTCGTTTGAAGCTGTGTGCCCAGATGAAAAGGACAATTTTCCCAGGTACTGAGAGGTGATTCCCCCACCCCCACCCCCACAGTGGTCTAAAAGAAACCCTGTGTTTTTTTTCCTTACAAATCTCCTCATTGATGACTTCTTGATTTTCCCCCATTTCTATTTGATCTTTTCTCTCTTGGCATTCCAATGTCATTTATTTTATTTTCTTTCTTTATTTTTTGAGATGGAGTCTCGCTCTGACACCCAGTCTGGAGTGCAGTGACACGATCTCTGCTCACTGCAACCTCTGCCTTCTGAGTTCAAGTGATTCTCCTGCTTCAGCCTCCCATGTAGCTGGGACCACAGGCCCGCACCACCACACCTGGCTAATTTTTTTGCATTTTTAGTAGAGATGGGGTTTCACCATGTTGGCCAGGCTGCTGTCGAACTCCTGGCCTCAAGTGATCTGCCCACCTCAGCCTCCCAAAGTGCTGGGATTATAGGTGTGAGTCACGGCACCCAGCCCCCAATGTCATTTATTTATATTTTACTTTTTTAATTTATCATTCTCTGCCTTTTATAATGATAATTTTATTCACTCATCCAACCAACATATAAAGAGCTACTATCAATCCCATTTTAAGATGGGGAAACAGAGTTCAGAGATGTAGGATTCCTTGCTCAAAGACAGACAAGTTTAAGGGAATGGAATGGAAACTTGAGCCCAGGTTGTAAGTCATAATCTGTGTTATTTCCACTGTCCCATCTTTTTTTTTGGAGACGAAGTTTTGGTCTTGTTGCCCAGGCTGGAGCACAATGGCACAATCTCAGCTCACTGCAACCTCCACCACCCGGGTTCAAGCAATTCTCCTGCCTCAGCCACCCTAGTAGCTGGGATTATAGGCGCCCGCCACCACGCCTAGCTAATTTTTTGTATATTTAGTAGAGACGGGGTTTCACCATGTTGACCAGGCTGGTCTTGAACTTCTGACCTCAGGTGATCCACCCACCTCAGCCTCCCAAAGTGCTGGGATTACAGGCGTGAACCACTGCGCCCAGCCTCCACTATTCCATCTTTACTTCTCTCAGAGTGAGCAAATAAGAGGCGTTCCTGCCGAATCTGCCCCTATCTCCTTCTGTTTGGTAAACATAGTTGCTACTGCTTTGGTTTTTTACTATAAATTTGAATGTCTTTATATTGGCCTTGCACTTTCTACTCCTCTAAGATCCCCAGCAATCCCTGTGGTCTAACTCCAGGTTGCTTCACAAGGTTGTCACCTTCCTGGTTCTTTAGGCTTTTGTGTTTTTGACCCCTGAAGTTTCATTCAAGTTCAGTTTGGAATGTCTCATTCCAAAAGTCAGGAAGACTGGCCTAAAGTTATACCTAAGTCGTGCGTTAACCTTATTGTAAGAGTTAAAACATTAAAAAGACTGAATTTTCCCAGTTGCCAAAAGGATGAGCCATTCCCCTAGTCCCCTTTCTTAAAAAATTTTCTTGAGCAAATTCTAATTATAATCCGTGTGTGTGTGCGTGTGTGCGTGTGTGTGTAACTTTTTAAAAGCTAAATAAGCCTCTTGTCAGATAGAACCCAGGAATCTTTTTCTTCAGGTCCCGGGAGCCAACTCCTTGAAATGTAAGTATCAAGGTAGACAGTGCCCCTATGATCCACGCTCGCGGGAGTTACCCTAAGCGACTTGCTCCAAGCCGTAAGTACCTGTTTGTCACAGAGATAACGTTTTATTTTTCCTTTGGATAAAGGCAATTAACCAACACAGACGGCCACTCCAACGGTGAACTACCAAAAATTGAATATCAAACCATGTTAACTCGTCTTACGTGAGAACGTGCGTGTGCTTTAGCTACATAAAAGGTGATATTTTTGTCTCTCTTTGCAATCTCATTAGTGGATTGCCTGTGACACTCATTCCGGTCTGGTTCGATGTTTACAGAATAATACAACTTTTTTTTCTTTTCTAAATTTGTGGAGATTTTCTAGGAGGGCAGGGGATTTTTAAAAAAATTTTTTTCTCGACAATATCAATTTATTTAGGTCCCTTACTTTTACTAGCCACCCCCTTCCCACCTCCTTCCAATGGCAAATTAGAATAACTTGCCCCTTGCTCACCTCATGCGTGGCCTTGGGAACTGGTGAGAAACTGCAATCCGTTGGCGGTAGGAACCACGATTCCCAGCATTCCCAGCGCTCTGAGTCCTTCGGACTACCTTTTCCGGGTCTCGAGGCTGCTGAAACCGAAAGTGCTGTGCTGTGGGCAGCAGCGCCGAGATTGATTCACCTTCTCCTGTGCGGAACTCCAGCTGACCCGAGTAGGAAGCCAGACGCGCTGTAAAACATGAACGGAAGAGTGGTTTATTTGGTCGCTGAGGAAGAGATCAATCTTACCAGAGGACCCTCAGGTATGTGCGGAACGGGTCATATCTGATAGTAGGGGATTAGAGGGTGTAATTGCAGACATCTCTGCTGTTGAGCCGGATTCACCTGGCCTCGGGGCAGGCCCCAACCTAGAGGTTTCGTGCAACGCTTTGGGGTGCTTAGAGAAAATATGTTGAAATCCATCATTAACCAGATACGGATCTGAGGAATCCACCTCAAAATCCAGTCGGATGACCACAAATATATATAGTCACGAAAGGGTTCTTTCTGCAAATCGTGCTAGAAAAGCCTTTTTAAAAGTCTGCTTTTTTAGCCTGCTTATCGTGGACACCACATCCTTCCTACCGTTGCCTGTTCTATCCCTCACCCTATGAGGGACCGTTTAGTAAAATGGGAGCATAAGCGGTGTAGACTCTGAATGCATAGCCGTTTTCCTGCAGCTAGGATCCCTCCCTCGCTCCTTTGATTTCTGGGAAATTCATTTACAGTGCCAACTAGAATATTAAAGCAAAAGAGCCCTTAGAAATCTTTTATTACACAGGTTCTCAAACTTGGTTCCGCCACAAAATTTCCCAGGGCTTTAAAAAAAAAAAAAGAAAAAAAGTTAATTCTTATCTCCCATCTGCAGGGATTTGGATTCAGTACGGATTTTATTTATTTATTTATTTATTTAAGTTTTTTTTTATGAACACCTCATGTGATTCTGAGCAGCCAAACTGCTATCCTCTTACCCCACTGAGGCTCTTCATTAAACCGGGCTCTTGACATTACTACATTCTGCCTTCTTTCGACTTTGTTTATTTTCCTTTACAGCTATTTAGTTGATCGATTAAGAGCTTTAGCTTTGGAATTACAGTATCTGGGTTCAAATCTTGTATCTAACCGCTTACTGATTCTTTGATACTTATTGGTTCACCTAACTGATGTAAGCCTTAGGTTATCATCTCTAAAATGGGGATGGTTATAAATATACCTCACAGTGTTGTGAGAATGAAATGAGTTAATCTATGTAAAATGTTTACAATATTGCCTGACCTATGGTAAGCAGTATGTGTTTCCTACTGTTGTTATTGTTAATGCATAAATAGCTAAACTGACACAGTGGATCCTACTAATACTGTATTCCAAGAGTCTCTAATAAATCATCAGGTACTATGAGCTCCATCTCTGAAATGTTCCTGAAATTCTTTCACTCCTTTTTCCCTTGCCACCACCTAGGACAGCCCATCACCTTTTCTCACTGCAGTTCTGCAGTAGCTTAATCATCATGGATAGCTTATTCTTTATAAAATATAACTTTCAGAATTATCCATACTTTGTCTTTTTTTCTTTTCTTTCTTTCTTTTTCTTTTCTTTTTTGAGACAGGGTCTCACTCTGTTGCCCAGGCTGGAGTGCAGTGGCATGATCTCAGCCCACTGCAGCCTCTCCCTCTTAGGCTCAAGCAATCCTCCCACCTCAGCCTCCTGAGTAACTGGTACCATGGGTGTGCACTGCCAGGCCCGGCTAATTTTTTTGTATTTTTGGTAGAGACAATGTTTTGCTACATTGCCCAGGCTGGTCTCCAACTCCAGAGTTTAAATGATCCACCCACCTCTGCCTCCCAAAGTCCTGGGATTACACGTGTGAGCCACTGTGCCTGGCCTTCCTTTCTATTATAAAAAATTGGAAGTTGGTTTTACTTATTGTAATATAACTCATCACTAATATCATTATTAATATTATTATTATTATTTTTAGAGACGAGGTTTCGCTTTGTTGCCCAGGCTGGTCTTGAACTCCTGGACTCAGGCAGTCCTCCTACCTTGGCTTCCCAAAGTGCTGGGATTACAGTCATGAGCCACCATGCCTGGCCTATGACTAATCTTAATGGATTAGTGTCATGGATTATGTGCGCCTACACTTTTGTCAAAGGTTCATTTGGTATGCCCAAGTTTCTTGGATTCATTTTTTTGCTATTTTATGTAAATTTATCCTTCACGCACTGTTAATATTTATTGACTTTTGAGCTAACAGAGAGTTATTTTTAAACCAAAGTCTGTTTTTTTGTACTTCTCATCTATTGGTAACTTGTTCTCTTAGGACCAACTAAAACAATGCTAGTTCCTTTTCTGATTGCTGTCCAAGTATTTATTTAAAGGCTCTAGTTGTTCTGCTCCAGTTTTGCCTCTTTCTTCTTTATCCTAAATCTCTTCAGTTATTTTACTACCTCTCCAGATGCTTGAGATTTGATTCTTGCCTTTTGCTTAAGAATTTAATGTACTTTGACATAGTCTTTTTGCTGGGGCATCCACAGTATTTTCAGATCTCCTGTCTAAAGCAGAGCAGGACCCTGATATTATCTCTTGTTCTAAACATGAAATCTTTTAAAAATTCAATATAATTTCACTTCATTTTTTTTGGCATTTGCAGTCATAAATTTCCTAGTGTTAGTATTTTCTCAAAACATTGGCGTTAGGACAAGCTTCAAGGACTAATTAAAGGGAATAATTATATCTAGCTAGTATATTTCACCCAAAAATGGTTTGATTTCTGTATCACATATTTATTACAAATGAATGTATTTATTCACTCAGTGGCTTCCTAAATTTTCATAAGCATTTGCATGTATTAATTATGTAAGTCAGTGAACTTACTGGGAGAGTAAAGCCTCAAGTTTAGGAATGAACTTGGGTGAAAACAGTCATTTGAAATTTGGTTGGTTCAGTTAACAAGGAAATGTTTCATGTTAATCACTTATCGGAACTGGTTTCCTAGTATGTGATACTCTTCTTCTCAGAGTCTAATTCAGCTTTTCTTCCTGGTATGATCATGAAGATAAATAAGGAGGAGACTGTCTCAAAATACCACTAGAAACAAAATATCACTAGAAACTAATCACCACTAGAAACTTCCACATAATTTTGGTAGTCCCATAAGGATCTTTCTTTCTATAGAAGAAATATGAAAATCCTCTAATTCTAAGTGTGCATTTCTTTTGTAGACAGCATTGTCCACTCTTTGTACAGCTGTGTACTCTGGAACCTGATGGTTTAATCAGGTCCAAGAACATGTGTGCCATTGCCCATTTATGTTCTGTCAGGGACAAGAATTGTGGATATTTCTGGTGTTTGGGCCCATATTATAAGGCAGTCGAACCTGTTCCTGACTGATCTGCTTACTGCAAGGGAAGTAATGAAATCTCGGGGAAATTATGACAATAGTGAAGAGGCAAAAGAAGCTTGACATGTATTAGGTTAGTGCAAAAGTACAATTACTTTCTTTTGTTCTCTTTTTTTTTGAGACAGTCTCGCTCTGTCACCAGGGTGGAGTGCAGTGGCACGATCTTGGCTCACTGCAACCTCTGCCTCCCAGATTCAAGCAATTCTCCTGCCTCAGCCTCCTGAGTAGCTGAGATTACAGGTGCTTCCCACCATACCCGGGTAATTTTTGTATTTTTGGTACAGACAGGATTTCACCACGTTGACCAGGCTGGTCTTAAACTCCTGACCTCAAGTGATCCACCCACCTTGGCCTCCCAAAGTGTTGGGATTACAGGCGTGAGCCACCCCACCCAGCCATAAGTACTGCTGCTTTCAATGGCAGAACCGCAATTACTTTTGCACCAGCCTAATAGCATGAAATCTCTCCTGTTGTCTGCTTTCTCAGCTGTAAGGAGGGACTTGGGCTAGATGACTTCAGAGGTCTCTTCCATCTCCAAGAGTTCATAATTCTTTGGCTCATTCCACATGTTGTTTTATGACTCCTACCATTTGGGGCTTTGTTTGTTTTGTTTTTGTTATTTGATTCCTGCCATTTTGGACTAATAGTATGAGCTGAAGAATTTCAAAGGCAGTGGCTACAATCTCAAATGTCTTCAAGGGTTGAACAGTTTATCTTTTATCTTTTGTGGAATGCTGTTTTTTTTTTTTTTCTCTATAGGAGTCCAGCTTGATTATAGTGTCTAAGGCTCTCACTTTTTCTTTATCAAATTGAAAGTCTCTTAATGAGTCTTAAAACTCAGTTACTCTAAAAAGTATGACAAGACTCTTAATATGTTTTTTTTTTACACTGCAACAGGTAAGAGATTGTCCATAAAGAACACCTTACTGTACATTGAGTGCTATGATTAGGAATCTTATTTTTAGGTCTGAGTCCCCAGTGGGTTTCAGCAAGTTGTTCCTGATATGCCATCTTTAAAGAGGGAAGAGAATATTTATTTTCTTACTTTCTTTAAAGACTTTGGAAAAGATGATGGGTTTATGGCAGTGTTTTAATAATGAATGCTAAAGGAGGTATTGTCTTTCTGGTAGTGTGCTAATTACTACATATACATATATTATATATACCGCATATATACTATACATACATACATACTCATTTAATCTTCACAGCAACCAGTGGTAAATATTTAATCCACATTATTAGATTGGGAAATTGCCTGAGAGAGGTTAAGGACTTGCCCAGTTTCTAATGCCAGTAAATTTCAAAGGATTTTAACCCAGGTGTGTTAATTCTGCTATACCATATACTACTTTCCACGGCAGTAGCCATGTTTAAGAAGTTGACTGCCAACCTTTCCCTTGACCTTTATTTTATTATATCATGCCTTATTCCCAGAAGCATTTGAGGCATCTTAAATGACTAACACAACCTACGGTGGAAAGTTTTTATTGCTTGCTCTTGATAGAGCTGAGGGCGTATCAAGGTGAGTAACAAAAATCAAGATGCCCCATTAAGTTCTATCATTTAAGCCCTTGTAGACCTGTCATAAGCTTTGGGTTTCATGCTAACTGAAACTGTTGCTAGTAGTTTTCTGATCTGTTCCTTTCTTCACATATCAAATGGATGTGAGACTAAATGCTATATCCTTGCTCTATTTTCTC